CGACGCTGCGCTAATACCATCGTCATCGCAGTACCTCTGTTTTGTCTCTGTAAGGTTATGTCAGCATTTATAATGTACTGTACACGTGTAAAAGTGTACTACATTCGTTTGTTGACAGACTAAGGTAGACATTAGTCGGTAGACTAATCGAATGTATTAGAATGTATCATTTATTAGAATATCTACAATCTGTACAGTTAAAATTTGTGCAATCAAATATAGAGTGTTATGAAACATTATATTATTTGATGATGTGGCTAATTAACCCATAGTAGCATCTCATACGATTCGTAAATATCTAACAAGTTTAAAGGCCTAATACATATAGCAGAATACAATAAGGAATTCCCATTGGAATTTCTAAGGACTTATTCAGAGATACGGAGGAAGATTCTGACAGTAAAAAAGGATCCGTTAATAAGGGAGGATCATCTGTTCAGAAAGAGATAGGATGTAAAAATCAGAGGTAGATTAAGAAGGGAAGGCTGTAATACATTTTCGTGTTGTAGCATAACGCTTTCGTGAGTGGGAGGGGAAGGATGTTGTCTTAGGATTTGATAATAGATAGACAACAAAATCCTTAAATTATTAGGTGATTCTGCTTGAGCTGTTTTATTATAGTAATAATTCAAAATCTACAATTAAACATTAAGAGTCCGGATCGCCGATAGTAATTAAGTTCGGTTAATATTAAAAAAAATATATAATACTGAAACCTAATAAAAAATGAGAACCTTTTATACCTATTAACTTCTGGTAACTTATTGTACAGCTTGCTTTAATAAAACGTTACCGGTTTAATGACTATATCGTCGCTCAAAAAGTACAATAAAAGAAGTAAAAAATAAAAGTATACTTTTAAACCAAGAAAAACGTTTCAAGTAGTCACTGACAATTATTTTGTATAAGGCCAACGCTTATGGCGGTTATTTTTGTACTAAAAAGGACCAAAAAAAAAAAGAGAGCTGTCGTTGGAAAAGGAAATTAAAACTATAATAAAAAAGAATTTAATCTGTAGGTACGCGGTTCCTTTTGTTGTCGCTCGGCCGTCTTATATACGGCTGAACAGACTGCACATTTCTCTCTCGGTGCTTTCTCGACCGTGACTTTCTTTTTCTTTTTTATTATCATTATTATAATTCCTTTGCTGAGAGAACGCACGAACCACTTATACACACTAACACTTAATGTTTGCTGTTGACCCCGAGGGTATACCGACGATTTTGAGTAACCCTTCCGATTTTCCGGCAGAACGGTAAATCCACGTAAGCGCAATATATACTTGGGACAAAATTACCTGGTTTTCCTGCCACGACCGCCAAATGAGTTTTCTAATATACCGGCCGATGTGTACAGACATTATTAATAGTCCGGCTACCCGTGCTATGGCATGCGCCCCCATTCATTTTCACGATCCCGACCATTCGGATGAGAATAAAAGATAACAATCTCGTTTCCGCAAGGAACTCCATATAAAACCCACATGGCGTTTGTTGCACGAGCAATTTCACCTAAAATAATGCACAGTGTATATACAGGGTGATTTTTTTATCGTGGGCCACACAATATCTTATAGAATTAAATGAATAATTCATATTTTTTTTCATTATGTTTTTAAACTATTCCATCTCAACATCTTACACATTTTTATGTTTTTAACCCCCTCACAAACTATTAATTTTTATATCAACTTTTGAAACTTGAACTGTAATAACGTATATATTTTATTGGCTTTTTAAACTAAGAATGTTTTACTAAAAATGTTGACTGGTTGATAATCGGCTTTGAGCAACTATTTTTAATGTTATAATAATTTGAAAGTTAGGACGTGCGCGCAGATAGAAATAATACTACATTCCACCTTTCCTCCTGCCCTAAACTTAAAACTTCGATAACTTCAAAAATAGTTATCCAAAACTGGTTATCGACTAGTCGACATTTTTAGTACATTATTTTCAATTTAAAAAGTTAATGAAACGTATGCCTTACCATTTTAGTCTAAAATGTTGATACTGAATCGTTAGATATTGAGATAACAATTGTTATCTCAATCAAGTGATTGTTTAAACACTATAAAAAAAAATGAAATACTTATTAAATTCTATGTGATGATGTATACTCTGGCTAACGATAAAAAAAATCAACCCTGTATATGATTATTATCCCCGGGCTCGGACATAAGCGTTAAGTAGATTTGGAAAACATACTATATGATATTCTCTTGCCGAATTGTTAGATTAGTGTCTCCCAGTGTAATCACATAAACGCGACAAAACAAAGTTTTAACGTAAACGAGTCTCCACAGCGGAAGACTCTAAGAACTAGCTACAGACCAATAATAGTTTACCCCTCATATCACATGGAGGAAATTTAATAAGGATAATATAAACCGACGTTGTATAATTCCAAAGACTACCATGCTGAAATAATGATATGATGAATTTTTAATACTGAAGACGTGTACCCGCATTGAGGATTTTGCTTGCATGTTTATGATCCCTTATTAATTCCGCTCTGGTCAAGGGGGCTCGCATAATAATATTTTAGTTGAGAACCACCAGACCAACCCAACCCTGCAGCTTATGATAGATTGTACACAACACACAAGCACGTGTATTTGACCCGTTTGGTCTTTATCGTCCATCCATAAACTCAAATTAATTTCACAAAACGCTGAACACGTATTGCAGAACTATCGTGATGTTTAAATACTTTGATAGATTTTATTGAACAACTGCTTTTAGGTTATTAGTCTAGATAGTATTTAACAATGTGGGTATGGAGGGCAAAACCCTAAGCGGGTCTGTAAAAAATAAAAATTACGCTTACGTCAGTAGCTATTGGTAAATTTCATACAAATTTGTGTACGTTAAAAATTGTACTTCTCGTGTTTTCGTGTAGAAAAAAACTCGCCGTTAAATCTATTTAATTCTCTGCACCGAAAATGTGTGACCGAACACACGACGACGGTCCGTCTGAATTGTTTTACTGTACAATGTTTGCGGTCACGTGTTGCCAATGCGATACACGAAAGCTCTGGAATGAATTATTTAACGTTATGGAATTGCACACACATAAATAATAATAACAACAATAAAATAATAACTATAATAATATGCGTCGGTGTGGAGATTATACCGAACGCTTTTTGTGTGAATTCTCGCAACGCAATTAACCGTAATGGCACAATAAAAAAGTTTAATAATGCACGTCTAATAACAACAGCAAAAAAAACATAATAATTTAGTACGACTCTATTGCGTACACGATAACACGTATATTATTATTATTATTATTACTTTTGTAGCATGCCAAAGGCCGTGTGACGTTTGCGGACAGATGTATCGAAACAAACAACCAAAACGTGACACACGCTTTGTTATTAATGTAAGGGAGTGTGCGGCAATATTGTTTGAGTTAATTTTTAGAGCAATGATCAGAGAGGTATTGGAGAAAAATGAACTAAGAATCATTAGTGTATGTCAAGTAATACCAAGGGTTGGAGACCTGTTTATGCTTGGATAGCAAAAATGTTCATACATAGAGTAGTGTCATTTAAGTATTTGGCATAAATTATGTGAGAGAATGGTGGCGTCAGGCGTGTGTCGAGTAGGATAAAGTGAGGTTGACAATAGACAATAGAGATGTTGAGCCACAGAAAAGTGTCATATAGAGAAAAATGTTACAAAATTGTAATGAAGTCGGAAATTCTTAAATGAATGTTGGACCTTACTAAGAGGGATGACAGGAAAAATGGAAGAATCTGAAAAGATAATATCGCTATGGGCGTATAGTTGAATACACTAAATCAGATGGAAAGTTTGGGAGTTGCAAGAAGAACTGAGTGAAAATAAATTGAGATCATATGCTGTGAAAAGAAAGAGAAATAAAAAATCCAAACAGTTCAGAGGAGTTATAATAACGAAAGACCGAAGAAGTGGATGTATAGTTTAAATGCAAATGTGAAGGTGTGCGGAGGAGAGTAGTTGGACTTTTCAGATTTGCATTTTAACTTAAAGAATGCATCTCGTGTGAAACTTTTTGTAATTTAGACTATTGTTTGACGATAACACATTTAGCTCTAGACTGACACATGAATTAACTATTCACTATGAATACGTTATAAATATGTAAATATTATGGCTATAGAATTAACATTCTAATAGAAAATAAAAACAGGCGATTCACGCAAGAATTTTAACCATGTAAATAAAACAAACATTTATTTATTCAAATCTAATTAGCGTGGCATGGGTGCTGCGCGACATATCTTGATTTGTTTTATCTACAAGATAATATAATCCATTGCATTTGCTGAAACGCCATTTTCTGACTACGAACGACACAATTTACATAATAATGAGAGAGTATACCATGAAGCTTTTTAAGGGCATATAGCTTCGTTTATGCTAGCGCTGGGAAAACTGAAGTGTCTCATCAGGCACTTCAGCAAATGAGGGTTGACTCACAATCTTTATTAAGCAAACGATAATTAACACGATGATCGAACAAAGGCCGCATCCACCAAGTGTCATGTTGTCTGAAAAAACATGATTCACTATCCTAATTAATCCATATCAAACGCATACGCCGCCCTGAAGATAAATTAACCCAAATCAATGACGTAAATAGGATAGAAGCACTAGAAGCTATTGCTTTCCCCTCGGCATACTAAATTGCTAATTCCTTACGTAGATATTAATATTTATCAGAAAAATGTGCAATATAATGAAAGAAAAATATGACAATTATGGTCAAAATGCCAATTTCAAGTTTTCCAAAATCAAATCTCTAATCGAAAACAGTAGTTTTTATTTAATTATCGTTTGATTTAAAGATGAGGAGTTGTTGCGATGTTAGTATGTCGAGCCACGGTCATGAGTCATTTCCTGTAAACTTTGTTAATCTAAACTTACTAACTTTTGAAACTGGTCATATTATGATCGCGTATAAATAAATAGCGCTAATAATAATAGTATAAAATATATAAAACAACTTACATTATGTATTCTTATCGTTTTTGTTGTTGTTGATGCCAACGCTATGGAATCCGGAAGTCCAACGAACGGAAATCAGCGCCGGATCTCCGGAAATAGTTGTTTTCGTGCCACTTCCGGCGTCGTTTGGCCGTCAACGCGGCGGCAGATCGTTTCGCCCGACGGCCAGACGGCTGTGCCGGTTGTGACGGTGGCGGTGACGGCAGCGATGACAGCCTGTCGAATTCGATGACGGTGCCGGGCGGCGCTTGCTTGACCGGCAGAAGCTGCACGTAATCGCCTCGGGACGAGTGTACGACGCCGGACGCAGCCACCGCGAATGTCTGCAACCTCGCGGACGTCGGCATGCCCACCAACCGTGTGGCCAACAGTATGGGCACCAACACGGCGGCGGCCACGACGCCGCAGCCCAACACTAACATGACCACGATGAGAATCACGGTCCGCCGGTTACTGTCGCCGTACTCAGACGGACGGTAACCGGAACGCCGGCGACCGTCGCTCGTGCACGGTTCATCATCGCCACTGGACACTGAAGACCGGTCGTCCGTCTGTGGCAGTATAGTGTACTCGAGTTCGGCCGCCAAGTCTCCGGTACCATGTTGGGCCCGAACTGTCTTAAACATTACTACTGCCAAAATACAAATCAATAAAAACAATTAATTTTGAAAAAAATAACTGGAATTGTTTACAAATTTCAAAATTAAAAAAATTATTTGTACATAAACAAAAATATAGGCGCAAATAAATTAATTGTAGACGAATGGAGCTGATGTAAATGCAATTTTTACCTAGGAAAAACTAAAAATAATCGTCTTTCGTTTATAATTAATATAACTTATATTTTTGCATGATCCAACTCAAACACTTGTTTTTTAATTAATTAACGTTTACGTAAGAACTATAGAATAAAAAGTCAGCACAAGTGGAGTCGGAGTATTCGTAGGTCTTTAAGAATTATTAAATCTAAAGATAGTAAAAAAATTATTATTTAATATCAGTGCGATATAAAACTGTGCTAGATTGCATGAAACTTTACTGATACTATATCATATATGATCCCTTATTAAAACACAGCTGTGATTGGCCCGTACACGGTTTATAAACCAATAATATTTTGTAAATGTATTTAAGATCGTGTCAATCGATTTTTTAGTTTTTCTTCAATAAAATTAATATTTGACTAAGGTTTTTTTTTTTAACAGTATTTATAAGTATTTACTTGATCTATTTTCAGACCAAAAATCTAGCTTTGTTCCATCATGTTCCTCAGCAACAAAAGACTACTTCATTTTAGACTCGAAAAAAAATGTAAAAATTAAAAACGAATATCCTATGAAGGGCAAACAACTTGTGGCGAACGAGACAATTTTAGCTTTTATAATTGTTTAGTATGCATACTAACCGTTTATGCAATATCAAACAAAAGGTGTCTTAATGATACAATGAATTCAGGAACCAACTCTGAAATAACCTACTCGTTATTTATTTTTGATTTTTTTTTCATTACATTAAATGTTATAAACTCGTTTAAATGAGCTGTTTAGAACGACGATTGGTCGATTGGTCTATTGTGCACAGTCAACGCTAATCGTGTGTTCGATAAACCAGTGTCATCAATCATGCTGCTAGTCCTGAATTCATCGTATAAATCAACTTGATATACAAAACCTAAAAAAGTTTATACAGCGTTATAATATATATTATTATTATTACTACTATGCAAAACAACAGCTGTTATCAAACAAAGTGCTAACGCCAGTATTGCTGTAAATTAGCAGATAACAACCGTTTCCGGCAGGTACACACAGAAACCGCATAAAAGGACCGTAGTGAAAACGGCCTCCTCCAATTCGGAGTACAATTATAGTCGGTTTAAATAATACTCATCTTGATAACGTAAATAATTACAAACGGCTATTATATCCCTGATGATACCACGACAAACCGTCAAGGCTGGGTCTAATTTCGTAAATAACCCTTTGGAGAATACCTTGAAGATAACCGCTCTGTAATTAAAAAACGCACGCGGCCTATATTTGATTAAGTTTTAAATTATATTTCCAAATTTAATGGTACAGAAATATGGAATTCATTAAAAACAATCCCGCGAGCCGCTTTTATTTTCTTATAACACTGTCCTACATAACTCCCCAGACAATTTTATATATATTGTTAGTTCTACAGGTAAAAAAACAACGAGGGTACTGATTCACCTTTGCATAAAAAATTTACTCCGCTTGAAGTGTCCTCATAAATTACATAGTTTGCCGCAGTGCAAAAACGGTACTTTTTGCGTAGAATTTATAGATTTCAAAAAATTTACATTTAAAACTCATTTTTTTTCACTATACTTTCAAACAAAATATTTTATTTTAAAACTAAATTTTATTTTTACAATAAAAATTGTTTCATTTTGTTTGACCACTATTAAACTTCTTTTCCAACTTGGTTTCCTACTCGAAACGTAATTAATCTTTTGTTGTATAAATTTTTCACACAAATTTGAATTCAAATCTTATTTTGACCTAACACAAGGTGGTAACATCGTTAAAAATTTACCTACTTAATATTATTGCAAAAAAAGGGTAACATAGATAATCGTTTTACCCCTTTGGTTAATGGGGGGAAAATGATATATAATTTTTTTAATTTGATCTCCTAAAGTAACTTAAGTGTATGATTTCTGACTTATATATTTATTCAGTAGTACTAGATATCAACTATGGCCAAATAGGGTTAAAACAAATTATAATTTATTTTTAGACCAAAATTTATAAAAATAATATTAATTATAGTTCCCAGAGTTTAACCTAAGATCAACCACCAATCTGACGGGTTACAAATGAAAATCGCCATAACAATAGCCAACAATCAACAATGGCACAAAAAGCTATTAACTTGACAGCAAATGCCTACCACCAGAACAATGCGAGGAAATGTTTAGGTTTGACTTTTTCTAGTAAAGCCTTTTTATTAAAAGGATACTACAAGGTACTACAAGACCCATAATTGTGAACCAAACAAGTATATTTTTAGCAAACATAAACGAAAATTAACAGTATTTCGGTATTATAATTTTAATAATGCTACTCAAATGACTGTCTAAAACATGTTTGATATGTGTACTATATTGATGATCAACCTTATCGAGTCAAATACTATACCAAGTTCATTAATTAATAATACAGCGTTTGAAATAGTTTATTATGGAAAATAATACCATATATTCATATTAATATTAGCTATTTGATAAGAACAGTCACCCACTAAGTTCATAGTTGCCTTTTTTATAGTGTCAAATGTTTTTGATATCTAAATAACGTATGAAACATTTAATTGCTTTATACAGTTTTATTAACTTCGTTTATATTTGAGTACACTTATTATAATATATATTTGATAATATTGTATTATTTTAAACAAAGTTATTATTGTACCTCTGTAAAACGTTAATTCTGTTAGCTAATTAAAGTCAATTAATTTAAGACTACTAGTTTAAAATTATTTTACTCTGTTATTTAACCCGCCTGGTAGTTAAATGAATAACGTTTATTTCTCTCTAGTGCTGTAGTTTATTTTCTTCGAAAATTACATATTTTACTGAAATATATTTACACGAATAAGTTTAAATTATAAATTATTGTTGTTTGATAAAACTTAATTGGTAAAAACACATTTAAGAACTATTTCTGAAAATCAACAAAAAGTACTAAAAACAAAACGATAATTGCATGAGCAGCTTTTTTGTATTTTAAAAACTCAGTGAGCCAAATATTACTATAATACAAATGTTGTTATTTAATGTTTGTAACAATATTATTCCTTCAAGACGGGCCAAGCAAGATGACACTTATTATTATGTATACGTTAAGGTCATGTCAAAGTTCCTTCACTGAGAGAATTTTTCCTTATGGCAACTATTGTATTCATGTCCGTTATTTAATCTGCGGCATTTACTTAATATTCCATTTTTTTTATAGCCGATAGTGTAGTATATTTATTAATAATTTAAAACAACTAAAAGTATTATCATACTTTACTTGTGCGCTTCAATCGTTCAATAATATTCAACTGTCAGAATATGTTACATACAAATGAAAGTTTTATATCCTACGTTTATCGTATCATATTTGAATTGTATCTGATGTTTTATTTACAATATTTGCTAAAAGTATATGGAAGGAAATAAAAAAAAAATCGTTTGCTGCTGCAGAGCTTATATCCTTATAAGCACTACTCGACTCGCTCGTCGCAATGATATATTTTATCTTTCAGATACATATTAATGTATTTTGCACCGTACTACATATTATTTATTATTACTGTAACTTGCATATACAACGAAAATCGCATTGCATTCGATATTTATTCGTGCACTTGTTATTTAAATAAAGCAAGTATTGGAAAAATAACAGTGAACATACTATTTTTATACATGTTTCTAATTTCTTTAAGCTGCCTTTGTTAAAATTTTATATATTTTTTTCTGTGTGAAGTACACATTTCCGGTACCAAAATAATTTTAAAAATATCTAGTTAGTCACGAAACACGCGGGAGAATACATTACTGTATCTATTTTGCCTACTCAGCTCGCCGTATTAAAAACTACTTAAAGTGTGATATTATACTATGATTTATGCATAAATGATTATACTGGGAAATTAAAAAATTCCCTTGTACCTGCCAGATGGTAGATGTGACGGTTTTAATTAGCTTCGATAATAAGATGGAAATATTTCAATAATTATTAACGCAATAAACAGTAGAAGATAATCCGAAACAGATGAAAAAAGGAAATAATTATCTTATTCATTGTTATTACCGAGTAACTAATTATGATCAATACATTTATATCAATATATATTATATATATATATATATTTTATAATCTAGTTTCTAAGTTTATGAATCTAATTTATTTCTAATTAATCGAATCTATTTGTTTCTAATGTATCATATTAATGTATCTGTTATTATCTCTATCTTATTATCACTATATTTGAAAATGGACATTTGTCCGTAAATATTATAATAAATAAATAAATAAATACAAATATACAGTTCTTATTACAACAATAAAAACAGAAATAATAATAACACCACAAGTGTTGCTTAAGTTTTTTCTAGAATAATAATAACCGTTATAATTCAATTTATAAATATAAGTATTCAAATTTAACATGATTTTTGAAAGTTTTCAACGAGAGGAGAAGTCAGTAGAACTATTTTATAATATATTTTACTGCCAATTGATTAATAGCTTTAAAAACTCTAAAAAAACTGGAAGAGTCCCAAACCAAAAGAATTTTTAAAATATTGTTATAATTATAAAACTTTTATAAAAATACCAATGTTCTTTTTGGCTTGGATTTTATTTTAATGCCGACCGAACAACATCGATACAAAGTTTTTATTGAAAACTGTTTATAACTTTAACAATTACATTGTGTATAAGTGTGATAGGCGCATTTTCTGAGAAATTAAATTATGTATAGTTTAGCAATAGATTATAAATTATAGATAGCTAACTTAACTAGTTATACTTATTTCCAACTTATTGATTAAAAAAATCAATAACCATATTGTATTTTACAATACGAGCTCAGCTTATAGTTTTAATATTGTTTTACTTAAGTATACATCGTCAATTTTTATTAATACTTCGGAAAGCTTAATTTTTATCAAATTTTTAGATTTAATTGTTTTGTTTTTAAATTAGTTAACTTAACAAAAAAATTGTCTACAACTGGTCCATTAATAATTAAAATGGATATGGATTTGTCTTGAGAAAAATGTATTATAGAATTTTCTAATTTTGAAGCAGTATTTTTTTTTTTTTTTTATCAAATTCCTATTATCATGAAATCTACAGTTAAACCATAATATTCTCATAAAAACACTAAATAAATAAGTATCATAAATTCTATGAATAAAAGACACATTTTCGAGTACCTACTAGCATTCCGCTCCCCTTACACGAGAACAAAAAAAAAACACTTCCTTCCAAAATGAATACAATGGGCATTCGCCATTCAGACAAATATAAATTTGATAAAAGCCACGAAGTTGTTCCGGGAATTCGCGTTATTATAATTTTAAAAATCTTTTTACCAGTCACGAACGTACATATTTAAGACAAAATGCATTTATTGAGACAGCTTGGCAACTCTTATTGCGATGGAAATTTAAAAAATAAATGTTTTTTTTTAAGGTTGGCAAGGGGGTTTAAAATTTAAATTATAATCAACGATAGAGTGTACGTCCTATTGAGTGACAGCAGCTACTTAAAATTATATTATTTAAAACAAAATGAGTGCACTTACACGTTGGTGTTAACTGTAGAAATCCGTGAACAATTATTTTACCAAAATACAACTACTCTTCTAAGGTCGCATTTTCAAATCGACCACTGATTTACATATTTTATTTTTTTATTTTTTACATCCACAGTGTTGGCCCGTTAAAACATCGACGGGTCACCGATGACTCGGAGGAGTAATGGTCGCGCGACAACGGAGGCGTTTCGACGGACCGCAATTCGCATATGCCGCCGCCTCAACGTTGTACACGACCGACGATGCACGCGGATCGGACACGGCGCATGCGGCACGTTTACCTCCACCGCATGGTTACCTCAACCGCGTGACTACCTCCACAGCGCGCAACCGTTCAAGTCACAAAAGTCCCAACAACAACTCAAATTTTTCGTTTTCGACCGTTAAAAATCTGGCATTCTTCCGTTTTACTTGTAAGTAACCCGTGCAACGCCTTTTTTTTATTGGGGGGGGGGGCGAGTTCGACAACTCAAACCTTTACCTATTAAATGTATTTGTTGATTGGTTTTGGTTGGTAGGTGTGGAACACGCATGAGATGGAGTCACGGCATGACCATCCCGGGTGGTCACCCATCCGGGATCAAGCGACAACGAACACGGGGCTTCTTAATCTCAGTAAGGCAATACTAGTAATCTATGTCTCATAATACCATAGATTAAATACATAATAATATATTTAATCTATCATAATACTTTGATAAACAACTAATAAAAACGAAACAGTGCATTGAGCACAACTATTAAATTATTTGAATTTTAATAAAAATCAATAAATGATAAATTATTATGGCCTTTTTGTATTTTTATTAAGTGAACTCTCGATTTTTTTTTTTTTTTTTTTTTAAAATAAAGACAATATTTACAATCTGTGTACAATAAAACAATAGGTAAATGAGCTGAATATAGAAACTAGACAAGACGACGTGAAGGAAGGGAGCGTCCATTAACACTACTTCCAAATAGGAATTTAAATTTTCAGTTTAAGGGATTAGTACTTTTTTATACTTTTTTTTTAATTTTATGTTATGTTTTGAGTAGGTCACGTGGCCAGTTCCGTTTTAGTCGGCGAGGAGGATTGTCGGGAATTGTGAGAGAAGCTAGCTTAGATATAAGAGGATTAGAGTGGTTGAAAGTTTTCGTATGGAATTTTTTATAGTGGTAGGGAGCAAGGGTTGATAGCATTGGTATGTTGAGGTCATTGTGTAGGGTTCGGTTACTTACATACCAGGGAGCGTTTGTGATGAGACGTAGGCTTATTGATTGAAAAGATTGAAAGATGTTTAAATTAGAGATTTTAGTAGTTCCCCAGACTTGAATACCGTGGAACTACTAAAATCTCTAATTTAAACATCTTTTCAATCAATAAGCCTACACTATGCAGTATGCATTTTGACTGGTCGATAACTAGTTTCGGATAACTATTTTTGAAGTTATAAGAGTTTAAAAGTTAGGATGGGAGGGGAAGTGCGGTTGGGAAATGCGCGCAGATAAAAATAATACTACACTCCACTTCCCCTCCCATCATAACTTTTAAAATCTTATAACTTCAATAGTGGCGGCCCGTCATAAGAGACTTTGAAACTGAGTTTCCCTTTAATAATCTTTAACTACTAATAAATAAATATATATTAATAATAATAAATAATATGGACATTTTCCCGAACCACAAAGTGCCTATATCCCATATATTTTATTGTGTTTTTTATCCTTATTGTAGACCACGCAATCTATAAACAGATATTTTGATGGGTTTGTTATGAAATCATTACGGCGATAACCGGTTCCCTCTAAACCAGCAACAATCGACCGTTTGTTTCAATCACAACAGGTAGTTATCGACAGTGTTATCGGCGCGGCGGATTTGAAGGAGGGGAGATGAGCCGTGTATTTTAGACGGTATTAAAACAAGTCTGGGGCCTGGCAAAGGATCCAACTTATGTAGAGTGTTATTGATGAGTTTGCGGATAAAAAGATCGCAAAATTGAATTAGTATATAAGAAAATGTAAGACATAATAATATAAAAATAAAATTGTATGTTGACTTATTATGAATTTAATTCAATTATTAAATAAATCAAAAGTAATAAAGGTTTTTCTTGTTTGATGTTTTTATTTAAGTAGGTATTAATAGTTTAAATTTTCAGTTTCCCCCGAGTATTTTTCTTACGGGCCGCCACTGAACTTCAAATATAGTTATCTGAAACTGGTTATCGATCAGTCAAAATTTGTAATACATTATTCTCTATTTAATATGGTAATAAAATATATACGTTACCATTTGAGTTTTGCTATCAAAAAATCTAAGTTTTGAGGGTGGTAAAAACAAAAAAAATTGTGAAAAATTGAGATTACGTTGTATAAAAACAATATGAAAAAACAAATTCAATTATTAATTAAACCCAGTGATATATTGACTGGTTCATGATAAAAGAATCACCCTGTATATTCGAAATATTATAAAACCATTGGAATCGTTAGATATTTTTTTTCAGTTATTACCAGAGTGACGATTATCCAATAGTATTGATTATCACCACGGCAAGCTTTAAATAATAATAATAATAGCTTTATAATGAAAATTATTTTATTCGTCAAGACAGTGGCGTAGACTTGCGGTCGCAAGGGTCGCGCTTATACATGATATAGCTAACTATATAACTATATAACTGTTAGTTATATCATGGGCAGTTGTTCAAATCGATTTGTTCGATTAAAAATTAAAACGTTATGTTCTGTTCTGTGAATAAGTTGTTTTTATTTAGTTGACAGTTTTGAACTGATGAATTTTCAATTTTGTCAACCGTAGACAGTCAAATGATAGGTAACCATGGTTGTAGTCGACAACATTGATAACAATTGATAACGGACATGGGATTCTTTCATAGTTCATACTTCAAAGCAACTATTTGAGGCGCACAAGTGTCAAGTTTAATAAACATTTTCTTGTGTTTACCGTACAGGTACAATAACTGTTATTAATATTTGCAGTTTGTTTCAACGTTATTAACATTATTATTTCATGACGATTTCGATTGGATTTAGTGTATAATTATTTAGTCAGTACAGTCTAGTCGAACCGTTTTGGTTTGCTCGATTTGTAATTTAATCGTGACTCATTTATTACGTTTGTTTAGATGTCTTATTATTTATGCTTTGCCGTTAATTAAAATCATATTTAAATGTTAAAAGACATTAAAAATATAATGAGTTTGAAACGCCCGAATAATTTCCCCAGTATAACCGATGGTGTGTGTTTACAAAATCTATCCACTGGTGAAATCCACTTCTTGGAAGATGAGGTAATGTCTTATTAGATTACACATTTCTTAGCATTAGCATTTCTCGTACATAATATTATGTTTACCTACTGTACTTTACAGCATAGTTTATGTTCACAGTTTATAATTGGTCGCGCCCTCGGCTGTTCACTCGTTATCGGAGATATCAGTATATCAAGACAACACTGTATTATAAAAAAATCTTGTAACCACTACACCATTAAAGATAATGTGAGTGATTCGCTGAATAAGTATTGACCAATAATAGCCAGTATGGTCATAATTACTAGTTGTCAAAATTTAGTATATGATCATCATATCATTTGGTGTTCACGTCACAGCCTATTCGCTACATTATAATGTTTATAAACATCGATTTGACAATGACTAATTAGTTAATATTTATATTTAATGCTCCTTTAAATATCCTACATAATATTGACTTCCATAGACATTAGTGCATTTATGTTTATTCCAAACCATAACTAATGCAATCAATCCAAAATTACCCAGCAATTCTCTCTTTAACTTTACCGTGCTTTGAGTTCAGACCATTTTTGCAAATGATTATTTAATGCTAATATGTTTAAAATTCATTAAGGAAATATAATGTGGGAAGAACTGTTTGTACTAGGAAAAATTGCAAAGCAAAATATTTAGAAACTATCTAACGTAAACATTAAACAATATAATTTGCCTTCTATTTAAAAGTATTCCACTATATTGTAAATTATCATGCTATCATATTACACAATATTATGTATCAAACCCCATGGTAGTTTTGTATTACCTGAAATTTTGCAGGGAACTGGTAATGGGACGTATGTTAACTATACAAAAATTCCCGGCGAAAAAAAGAAAACAGGGACAGTAGTTTTAAACCACGGAGATATCATAGCCTTAGGAGCTGACATGGGTCATTATAAACATCTATTCAGATTTATCTCACAGGCGAATGCTGATAAAAAAATCAAGTAAGTTATCTTCTTACGAATAATGATGTAGACTATCTTTCACGTGTGGTGGAGACGTACAATATTTTTTTCACAGTGCTGTGGGTAATCCGATACTCTTAGTACACTATGTACATGAGTTCAAAACTATAACAGACCTTTTAACTTTGTAGACTAGATGCATGTGTAAACAAAAACAAAAACACCAACAATGACAATCAATTGCAGTGCAAGGTCAATGAAGAATATAAAAAAAAATTATTAAATCTTCATTCTGACGTTGAAACTGTAAGTTATATATGAATATGTTAGGTCTTTTCCTCTTTTACAACATGACTCATAAATACCGCTTGTGCAATCATCTACTGTTTTGTTATATCATGTTTTAGTTAAAATTCCAAAATATCATGTTGAAACATTCGGTTACTCAATTAAATGAATTTCAAGATTGCATTAAGAAAGCTCTCGATTTTACTGCCAAATTGCGTAAAAAAGTTCAAAATGTGAGTATTAATGGCTATTATAAAATAAAGTGTTTTATGTATGTATTTACCTAGTATAGTTATGATTGGCATCTCTATTCAAAAATTGTAACTGTACTTAAACAATCATATTCTCATTTTTGTATTGTTATTATTATTTTTTTTTTTTTACAGCAAAACCTGGAAATTGAAGAACTAAAAAAACACAATAGTAATAACAACATGATACACGAAGGTAAACGTTATTTTACTGTAAATTGATTTATAATAAAATGTTTTTTTTTTTTTTAAGATGGTAAACTTGCCCTACAAGAAACAGTAATTACCAAGTTCAAAGACCAAGCTTATACTATTTTAGAAAATGACTTTCAATGTCCAATTTGCAATGAACTAATGGTCAAGGTAAAAAAAAATGATTGATGTATATGTATTTTTTTAATGTGATTATATATTTGATGATATATTAGGCGTGCACGGTCAATTGCAGCCATTCGTTTTGTGAAAATTGTATCAACACGTGGTTAAAAAAAAGTAAAATCTGTCCAGTTTGTCGTACTTTGGTTAAAACCAAAACAGGTTGTCTTACCATGGACAATTTTATTAATAATTTCTGCGAGTTTCTCGGGAGCACCGCTAAAGAACAACGAGAAAAAGTTCAGAATGAAAGTAAGAAGTATTTAAATGGTTATTTTGACTATCATTATGGTCACAATAATAAAGTTTATAGCGCCGTAACAATATTTAAACAATTTTGAGCATGTCGTTTGAAAAACAATCGACTAGATCAGGTGTTTGACAGTGGATAGATTAGGTTCTGAAACTGTGATTCACACCATTAGCATAAAATTGTATACCTACAAATAAAATGCACAGTTTTTTTCATTTTGTATACACACAACAAAATGTAAAGTTTTGTGAAAACTGCATTTTAAAAAATCTAATTTTTAATGTTTTTGCTTAAATTTTTTCATTCAATACACGGCCATAAAACTGAGTATCTGGACATTTAGTAATTATTCGAGTAAAATGCTTATGTTTTAAAATCAAGTTTCGACTGAAATAATTTATTCTAAAAATGTGTAAGTACTGTTGATGTCTGTGAATTATATGTCTTTTCCATTTTTTTATAGGGCTAGCTGTGATGAACTCTATTCGAATAGTACAAGTAACCCACTCAGGAAGAGGCGGTGGAAGAGGTAGGGGCAGAGGCTCGAGAAGAGGACCACAGCAAATGAATCATATTTTGCAAAGGTTTCAGGACATTCAAGAAATCATTCCAATCGATATCGATTTGAGCAACTATAGAACGGTAGGACCGCCGAGACAAACGAATGAACCCATCGAAGTCGTTGACCTTACGCATAGTATGTCTCGATAAAATAAATGTAAATATGGCTTTTAAAAGTGTTTTGATTTCCAAAAAATTGTAAGATTTTCTTTTTTCATTAAATATAATAAAACAATAAAATGTTAAAACCAATTTATATATTGCTCTTTCAAAAAGAAATTTGCATTTACGCAAATTATTTAAATTTACAGTGTCTGTACATGACACAACTTATATTTCTCTGATTGAAATGTTTTTCATATAAAAAAAAAAATTAAAAAAAAGTGTATGGTTTAGATTAAACAATAATGAATTAAAGTAATATTTTATGTGTGTATATGGTTACTCTTTCTACTTAATTATTATTTAAATAAAACATGATTAACAAAATATTTTGTATTATTTAAATTATAATATTGTTAATGTTCGTCATAGTAAATTTTTAACTTGACAAACCCATAATAATCGAAATGGATATTACAAATAGATATATTGAATTTAATGTTGTGAAATACTAATTTGTCCATCCAATGAACCTGAATTTCTATAAAGTAGTGTAAAATCCCCAATTCCTTTTTTTCTCAATATTATATCATAATAAATTGACTTAATGACTTCGGTTTAACGTTGGTATACATAAGTAGAAAAAGCATTGACATTTATTTGCCAATAAAAAACTAATTTGTTAATCATGTTTACTTGGCTCTATTTTGTTGTAAATATATTATTTGTAATATATGTTATTTCTTATTTTTGGTAATTGTTCCATATGTTATCATTTATTTTTTTTATAATTGTTTAATCTATTAGAATTGAACAACATTATACGTCAAAAGAATTATAGACATAATATTATTATTACTCACATTACAACTCGGTATAATCAAAGCACAAATTATTGATCTTCAATCATTTTCTTGTTATAGTTTTACTGTTGACAATAGTTTTGTCTAATGTTATTTTTATCTTAATAGAAGTGTTGTATGTTTTTTGTAACCGAACTTGACTTTAAAAGAATGTTCAAGTAAACAATTCAAACCGATAAATATGGTAAATAGCACTGTGGAAGAATTAAAAATTAAATGAAACCAATGTTCAATGGCTATAAGTTTGTTAGGAAATGCGAATATTATCTTAAAACTTATGGAAAGCAACAATATCCAAACTAAGCAATTACTTGTATTTTCGAAGAATTTAAGTTCATTAAGCGCATCGCTGCAGTCAGAAAATAAAAGTTTACACTTGGATTTGAATGGGTTACAGATAAGATACTAATTAAATGCGACGTTTCAGTCAGAGTTTACAATAATTGAATTAAAAATGACAACTACAAAATTTATTAAATTTAAAAAAAATACTCAAAACTGCATTTAAATAAAAAAGACACTACGTCCAATAACTCAAAAGAATATAATGTTTGGTTTTTCGATAAAAACCAATCAACCTAATGTTATAATCAATTATTCCATAGTGATACTTAATAAATTAGTACAGTTGATTTTCCAAAATATTTTTTTCGAAATCAGTCTAAATTGAACAAAACTTCTCTTTCTTTAGTTAACGTGCCTGGTGTAATTTTTTAGTTCTTAAATTTTTTAAATAATTCGTTTGACGTGTTTCTTATGAACATTTTATACTCTATTGATGTATTTATAGTCTTCCAATGTTCAAGGCTTGACATTTTTGTCAGTTCTTCTTAGAACATTTCCAAACGCGCTTTTATTTTTTTAAATTCTTTGTTTATGGTTTAAATAATAATTAATAGCGCATTTGGTATAATTCCTTTGCGGAAAATTCGCTTTTCTTTTTTCTTTAACGTTGTCAAGTAATTATAATTTTGCGTATGTTCGTATGTATACTTTTATTTGTTTAGGACATTTAAGAACTAATGCCAGATTGCACGAAGAATTGATAAATTTAATTAAAATGTATTAAACCTTTATAGTTTATTGAACAATCATGCAACCCGCCAAAATTCAAATGTGTTTTAACTTTTATGGATTGAAATTTGAATTTGATAATTTTCGGATGTATCCATGTTTTTGTTTCTGTGTTGTTTGTCATCGATTTGAAGATGAACTCTGCAATGGGTTCAAAATATAGCACAGAAACTAAGACTTGGATACATCATACATCCGAAAATTATCAAAGTACCGAAACTGTCTACTAATGTGAAAAAATATGTAATTTATGTCACAGTCGCATTTCTACAATGATTACTAATTAAAACAGTGTAAAACTTCTAGATTTCTATTAAAGAAACTTTAGTAAATAAAACGCCGAAGATATGAAATGGAAGTGAAGTGCTAACTACAAATGACAATCATTCGTCAACAATTTCGTGGCAATAATTTTTATATCGAGAAGTTGTGTCCGACAGACGAGAACTACTTAACCTTCCAGATTTAACAATTAGTAATTTTTTTCAGCTTTGGAGTATAAAAAAAAATGATACGTATTTTGAAATTATAACATCAAGTAATAGCAATTATAATGTATATATTAAGTATATTACTAAAAATTAACATTATTTAAACATGTCGTTATGACCCAATAATCCTAATAATAATGATAGTAATACATAATACATGGACTAGAATAAATTCTTACACTCAGTAGTTAATAACAACAAAAACGATACATATTAATGGAATGTCACAAAATTATTTAAGTAAGTATAAACAAATTTTTTATTAATCAATAAGACGTAAAATTAATAACGTTTATTTTTCAGGTCGTCAGAATTAGGTATTTTTACAGGGCCATTTTTATCGGATAACCCATGCCTTTGGACAAAAACCCTATTCTTTTTTAACTCAGATAGCAAATGCCTATTATGGTCTTCGACAAAATCTAACTTTTCACACAGCCTAGCGTTTTCTTGTTGCAGCTTAACCATTTTGTCCAATATCATTTTCATCTCAGCCGAAGTTTCAAATACGTTTTTCTTTTGTAATTCTTTTGTTAATTCGGCGACCGTCGTTTTAAACTTGCATTTGGAAACATGCAAATCATCTTGAGTCGACTCTAAAGCTTTTTTCAAATCGGAAACCATTTTCATTTTTTGAGCTAAATGACTAGCCAATTGTTTTTTATCCTGGTCAAACATTTCTTTCTCGTTAGACATTGCGTTTTTTTGATATTCAAATGCAATTTTGAGATCTGCATTTTTTTGCTTTAACCCAACATTATCACTCTGTAACTTATTCAAATCCAACTGTAAACTTTTATTTTCTGACTGCAGCGATGCGTTTAATGAACTTAAATTCTCCGAAAATATAAGCAGTTCTTTGGTTCGGATTTCGTTGCTTTCCATAAGGGTTTTAAGATCAATATTTGCATTTTCTAACAAACTTATTGTCGATGAACATTGATTTAATTTAGTTTTTAACTCTTCGACAGTGCTATTTAACATTCTGACCTGCTGTAATTGTTTACTCGAAGATTCATTTAATGTCAAGTACAGTTGACTTTGCAAAACAATTTTTTCTAAATTACTCTCTAAATTAAACGCTTCATTTTCTTTAATTAACATTTCTAGTTTATTTTGTAACTCTTGTACTTCACGAAGTAATTTGCTTTCGGTTTCTTGTGAACATTTTGTATTCTGATCGTATTTAGTCTTCCAATGTTCCAATTCTTTTGAAATTTTTAATTTGTCTTCTTTTAACGTTTCTAAACAGGCTTTTGTTTCTTTCAGTTCTTTGTTTTTGGTTTCTAAAATACTCAAACAGTTAGCGTGTTCTTTGGCGTTGGCTTTTAGTCGGACAATTTCCTTTTCTTTTTCTTTAACGTTGCCCAGTAATTTTTTCTTCTCTGTATTCAAGTCTAGTATTTCTTTTTCTTTGAGAACATACCTCATGAAAGCTGCTTCTTTTTCATGTTTGGCTGTTTCGTACGTTTTAGTCAAGGACTGTATTTGCGACTGCAAATTGTTAACATCAGTCAAATATTTGTGTTCATTTATGGCCAACTGCCGTTTGTAGTATTCCAGTTCGTCCTTTTGCTGTCGTACTACATCCTGCAGTTCGGCCTCGTTTTCTTGTGTCCCACCAATACCATTGATTCCGTTGACAGTGCAGACATCATCTTGTCTATTGCTGTTGACGTCGTTGACATTTTTGGACTGTACAACTAAACCCGACGTTTCATTTGAAAATTGTTCGACATTCACGTCCATTTCTTGCGTTACAACGAATGGTTTTTTTCTTCTATATTGGGAAACATTTTCCCGTGCTCATCACGAACGTAAAAACGTATGCGAATAGCTGCATAAAATCAACGGGAGGAAAACACAAGACGATGTATAATATTTTTACTCTGTTATTAGAAACGTCCACTGTTTTTTTTGGGAGCTGTTATCACAGCGCGATAACAACTAGATCCATAACAACTAGACAGTGTTCCCGTATTGGGTTTGTCGGATTACCGTATGACCTCGTTGGCCACACTGTCCCTTAATGTGTTGCCCTGGTTGCCCGACATTCCGACACGACTATCCACCCTACAGTCAACTTCAGGTTCAGGCTTGTCGTTTAATTGTTTTTTTTCTGACGATTTACAAATCACACTTGACACTTACCAGATACGTTTCGCAGGCCGGAGAGGAAAATTCGGTAGTTCTCGGCTTGACGTACGACGCGTCCTTCTATTTTTAAATCTGGCCAACATCAAATAACAAAAAAATATATAATAATCACTACAGTAGAGTTTTGTTTTTTTTTTAACTCGAGTAATCAAACACATGTAAGTACCGATCAATTATATACATCCATGTCAGATTTGGGTTCAGTTTAGCCGTGCGGCGAACACTTTTGTTTTCTGCTAATACCGTCGTTTGTTGTTTCAGAATTTATATCCAATTGACATTGCCTAGTTTTGGGTTTTTCGAACGACAGAACATGTCTTCAATTTGTATGTACTACAGGAGGGGAACTTGCAGATTCGGCGACCGATGTTGGAATTCACACGATCTAGATTCTGGACGATCAGACAGGGAAAGCCAGCGTAAGTGTTTGCTTTTGACGGGTTTACATTCTTTTTGGCCGGCTAATAATCTTTCTAACGATACTCTGGGCGCCCAAGTTCTGAACCATCTAAGGTAGACAGCGTATTTTCAAAAATCTTAAATTGTCTTCTGAACCCAGCCGTAGTACTGATAAGCATACCTCTTTTGAAATTGGTAATTACGTGAACGACACTTCCAAGGCTGTTTCCGATTTCTTTAAATGAAAAAAACAAGCTGAAAAAGGTCATATTAATTAAATTAAATTTCAAAGATTACATTATTACAGATCTCATTAATAAAAATTAACTTGTAAATGTTCAATTTATAAAAATATAAAATTACTTGTTATAGTGTGTTTCGTATTAAAAAAAAAATGAATTTAATGAAAAACTAAACTTACTAGAGTTAAACATTTATGAAATATCTTGTATCTTGTATCTTTTATGCACTCGAACCAGGGAAAAAACAGATTAGTCGAGAGTAACGACCGCCGGATGTTTAGGCATACAGGAAAAATGTATTACGTTTTGAAATTAAAAATATGATTTTCTCAGAATAAAAGAAAATTGACATTGATCTTTTTTCCCCGCAGCCCTTCTTTTATTTATATGATATACAATATTTTTATTTATCAAAAAAATAAAAAATAGTTTCTATAAAGTTGTTATGTTTTATGGCACTTATAGTTACACTTGATCTAAAATTCTAAAATGTTAAAATAATATACATACTTTTTTTTTTTTAAATCTGAAATTTGCAACATGTAAAATAAATTTTAGTCTTTGTGAATGTAATTTAAATTTTTAGCTCACTTGACTATTAAAAGTAAAAATTCATGAATTTTCTTGATCCCAGTTAGGTATTGAGTCAAAATATTAGTTAAATTTAAAAATATTAAAATTAGTTTTAATATTTCTATTTTAGCCGACAGTTCAGGTGATGAAATAATAGTTCGTCCTCCTAGTTCCAATGATTCACCTACAAGTAGTATTCCTAGATCACGTATTGGTCGACCTAGTTCAAATGATTCACGTTCGACTAGTATTCAAAAGCAAATCAGGCGGCAATTTTTAGATGCGGCCAATAAGTAAGTTTTTATTTTAACAACGACTAATATTAGTTTGCGTACACGTTCAGCTAGTTCATAGTACAGTGTATGACTTTCCAGATTCCAAAGAAATCAAAACAATACCGAAGCTGTTCCAAAACCAAACATTTGGTCTTTGTCGAGTAAGAAATACCATATTATTATATATATATATGTATATTTAAATAAGTAATTGATTTTATTAGATAAAGAATCTGGTGAAACTAGAGAAGGTTCACCTGATAGTATGCTTGTAGAAGCTGTAAAAAAACTTAATGAAGCAGAAAATGAAGTGCGAACCCTCCGTCAACAATTGTGCGGTAATAACGATGGTGAAAGTTTTTCTTGGGTAGCACATCAGTTGGAACAAGCCGTAGACAGTGATCTACAATGCAACATCTGCTATGAAATGTTCATTAAGGTAATGGTCATCTAGAGTTCATAAAATTTGGTATCTGTCATAAGTTTTTAAGAGTTATCCACAGCCTGGAAATTTTTTATTTAAGTAACAAATGTAAATTTTCGAACAATGTTCAGTCGATAGTAGGATATAAGAGTAAAATGCTATCATTAATATTTTTTTTGCCTAGAATTAAAACATAAACTGTAGTTACATAAACTTTTGACTTATTTTATTTTAGATTGAAAAAAAATTATCGTTATATTATTATAATAATTCATTATTTTACTTAATTTCAGCCTACCGTATTAAATTGTTCGCATACATTTTGTCATGATTGTATAGACTCGTGGACGAGACGAGTCAATCATTGTCCCACGTGCCGCGTGTATGTCAAAAGCAAGTCACATTGTTTGACGCTAGATAGTTTCTTAGATAAAATTTCTGAACATTTACCAGATGAAGTCAAGCAGAGACGAGAGAATTTAAAAGTAGAAAGAAATAACTCTAGAGGTAAATTTTTTTAAATATTATTACAATACTTAACATGAAGTGAAGTATTTTCTAATCATCGTTATTACTGTTGTTGTCCCAGAAGTAAATAGAAATCGAAGGGCCAACAATAGACGTCGTAACAATCGAGGGCAATCCGTACGACGAACATTGGGTATGATATGGGGTGATCGTGGCAGAGAAGGTGCAGAGTGGAATTTTGCAGATACCTTATTTGATCCCATTCGGTTAGGCGACGTATTAGGAAGAAATAGAAACGAAAGAGAAGACCTCGAATGGGATGACAATTTGTCTGACAGCAGCATGGACAGGTACTATAATTTATATTATATTAATTGACAATATTATTATAACGCTAGTGTGTGCAGAAGGTAAAACACTTATGTTTTTTCATAACAAATTACATTTTTTTTTTAAATCAAGTACCTTAACCACATCAAATAAATTAAAAAAAAAAAATCAACATTATAACTAAAAGATAGATAGTAACACTATTATTTTTTCGTAATGCATGTTTTAAGGGGTTTTGTGTGTGTGTGTGTGAATATCGTCTAACAATTTTCTTTCGATAATTATTATTGTGTCCAATCGGTATATTTCAGTAGACCGCTCAGTTAATAAGCGTCGTACTTTATGTTTCTTGTCGGTGAATTTTTGAATAAAAAATATTATATTAATATTGTTGAGCTTATAAAGACAACTTACCGCTTACAATTTTTTTTTTTTTTACTTAAATTGATTTGGATGAAAATTGTTTGTATTCAGTGAAAAATCAGTGGTGTAGTCATAGGGCGTACACCTTGTAGACTATTTCGTTCATACCACTGGTGAATTCTCATATATTCTTAACGTTGATATATTTAGATAACTTAATTAAAAATAAATTGTATTTTTGTTGGCTATGATACAATAGAGTAATTGTTTACTGCATGATACTTTTTGCTGCTTTAATTTAAAAAATAATAACAAAACACAATTCTATAAAGGTATAAAAACATCATCATTTAATTCTATAAGTGTAAAAATGTTTAAACATTTTTTAATAGTGACAGTTTAAAGTTGTGCATGATTGGTATTATAAAAACATAATATAGTGTATAAATATTTTAAACGTAGGTAAAATAAAATAATTTTTTTTTTTAACTCCAATTTGTATTGCTACTAGTTGTATAGTTTAATTAAAAATGTGCCTATAATGTAGTAGTATAATTATAACTCATAACTACCTATGTATAATAGTGTTTTGATTATTGGGCTTCCAATACATTTTTGGGTAATCGCTTGTTTTTTGTAACCAACCCAATAAATCATTTTATCTGATAGTTTAAAAAAAATGTATGTCCTCTAAAATAAAATAAAAAAATATTTTTGTATTTATATGAATTAATATGTTTAACGTCAAACTTTTTTTATAATTGTCCAATATAATAAATGTATACAACATGCTTTTTTACCTATTTTTAATTTTATATGTATCTTATGTATATTATATATTTTTTTTGTGTATTAAACAAATGTGATATTATTATTATTACTTGTGTGAAGATTTGCTTAATTTGTATGTTACTAAAAAAGCGGTATTTTTCTTTAGTCATAAATAAAATATCTAGCTACTTCATATGATTTGTTGATATTATTTACTAGTAATTTCCAAAGTTAGCAAAATGACAATCGTAGCTCGGCAGCTGTAATATTACCCCAAAATAAAGGTTTAATGCAATTCTAAAAAATGTATTGCCAACTCTGGAGATTTGCTTCTATAAAATTGAATCTTCTAAATGCTGCTATTTTCTTCTTGTGCGCTTTTGATTTTTTTATATGCTTTCTCATCCGTAGTTAAGTACAACAACAATTTATGCATGAACTTATAAAGGTGTGTGTGTGTGTAATTTATCTTAAAACTGTACTCGAATCATATTTTGTTGTTTGTAGCGATTAAAATTTCGTTTAAAATTAAAAAAATATATATTTGTAGGTTTTAATTTAATTTTTAATGAGTTTGGGTGTACACTTGTAATTATTTCCGCTGCATGTCGAATTTAAAATAGGTAGTTGGATTATTTTTTTCATTGAATTGTGCCAGTCCTGTTTTAGTGGTATACTAATTTGAAAAAGACTTGACCAAATTATAACTTAACATGAATATTTATACTATGTACGTATAATCTAATCGGTTTGTGTTAATTATTAAAAATTGTATAAAATAAATTTATGTGTTGTGAGTTAAAGTACTTATTTATAGTCAATGTAAAACATTATTAAACAATATGATTTGTCGACACATTTATGCACCTAAATTAATGCCTTTATCGTTTTATTTTTATTTTTTTCCGGTCGTCAGTATTAACGAGTTTGGGTACCGTTTTTGCTCTTATTGTGACAATACAGGACATTCGTCTGCCAACTGCCCTTTAGCCCTAATGGAGGAGTCTGACGAATGGTATAACTAACCGCTTTAATTTATCATCCCGTTATCTGCTATTCTTAAAAAAAAAAAAAAAAATCAAATATACAATTTTTTTCTATTATTATTTGTTTGTTAATATATATTTTTCCTTTTTTCTTTTTTTTTTTTTTTTTTGGTATATAATTTTATATTTGTTATTTATTAATAATATATGTACATGTAGTAATTTGTGGGTGATTGTTCCCTTGATTATCGCTCTACTTAAAATAGTTTTTTGTGTTAAGATATCTATTTCGTAATAATAATTGTATATAATTTGTTTTTTTTTTATTTCACTCATCATTTTGGGTTGTAGTAATATTGATTAAATTTAATTTAAAAATTTTCCTAGGGTCAAAATATCAATATTATATTTTCGCCGTTTTATATAGTCTTAATATAATAATATTAATGTTTAACGACATAAGTGTCCAATGTTATTAGCTTATGCCGTTTGTCAGTGCTTGAGTTAGTAATGTAACAAACTTATTGTAAGGTTAATGTTAACATTTTTTTTTTCATGTAATACATTTATGATGATTTTCATTGAAAAGCTGTTATATTACTGCTAACACTGTACACTATATCTTTATTCAAAAAAACACTAAGTATTATTTTACGCATTTCACACTTATGTTAAGTATAAAAACTCACGTCTCACCTAGTACCAACGGTTATTCTGATAACACGTCTAAAAAAATTAATAATTATTTTAATAAAATGCATGTTTAATTACAATTATTATTATTATTATTATTATTATTAAGGAATACTGAATATACATTTATATTTCAATATAAATAATTTTATTAACTACTATTTATTACCCTCTAATAGTGTAGTGGTACACAGTCGGTGTTGTATACATTTTTTATTCTTTAACGAGTATAAATTTGTGAATCTAAAAACTTATATGGTCGCCCAATTTTAAACTTATACGAAATATTGTAAAGTATATTTAATTATTAAAATTAAAAAAGATAGACCTCAGAAAGAAATCATAATGTGTTATATTATATTGATTGATAACGTAATGTAATATGTAGCGCTTAAACTTGCATTATTTATTGTGACACAGCCACACTATTGGCTGTAGTTAATACACAGTTACGAGTAAAATTGTTTAGAAAGACGATTATTATGGTTCGAGCTGTTACTACTAAAATGTGATTAACTAATTGTAGACACTACTTGTTTGAAAACTTATTTTTTTTGTATTTTCATTAACATTGCCTTATGCACGCTTATAAAAATTTCTTCCACACAATAATTGCGTATACCTTTCTGATGACACCACTGATGAATTAAATACGATACACATTTATTATAATAATAAAAAAACGAATGAACCTATTCGTAAATACTTGTTTATTAAATAATATAATAGTCTTAACTCCTTTTTATTATCCACCTAACAGCTGTGAAATAAATTAATTCTTCATACATTACCGTTTTTTCTGTGCGTGTTTCAGATTCTATTTTCTCGGATAACACGACTATGGGATCAATCGAGTATTGCCGCGTGTGCAATAGAAATTATTATTTGACTATAGAATGTAACCACAAACGTTTTCTGTGATATCGGATATTTGAATCACAAAAACATAATAAATCTAATATTTAGTGAATGTTGAAAATATTTTTCTCGTAGAAGTTTTTTTTTTTTTTTTTGGAATATTTATAACTGTAATTTATACTATAAGAATAACTACATTGTTTTTGATAACAAAAAAAAAGCTATAACCGTAGCATTAATTTGTATAATATTGACGCGATCTAAAGATGATCATAAGAATAATTTTGTTCAAGAAAATATGTTTTCTCGTTTCCAAATTTGATTTTTTTTTCTTTTGCTACCACAAATTTACATTCCACTCGATAATAGAAAAAAAAGTTTTTCCTATTTATTTGTATATTATTTAAATTATTGTACATTTTTTTTTTTATTTAGTATCGCCATTTTTGTTATTATTGTTTAATTATTATTATAAAGCAAGGGGGGCTTAATTAAATAAATTAATTTGCTATTTAATATTATTTTATTTATTTTAATTCAAAACAGATACTTTCAATTCTTTGACTAATTTCTCCACATTTCCTATTCTTAGGAGAAATTTATTAAGTTAAAATATTTTTTTTTTTAGACAAGTTCAGTATAAAGATCAGACTTATAATCTGCCGTGTTAAATAGACATAATTTGGAGCACTTTTAGAAAAAAAATAATTGTTATTGATAGTTGTTCTTAGGTCACATTGTACTACTACTTGTGTATGTTACTAAAATAAAATAATTTTTTAATTATTCCTAGATCTAAATTTGAGTAGCTTGAACTTATTTAATACAAAGTAATCATTTTAATAAATATTGTTTTTATACTTAGAAAATGAATAAAATTAAGCTTAAAAATATGTTTTTTTAACTCTTTCTTCTTTGCAATCAATACCTGTACCATATATTTTATTGTGTATCATCAAATTTATCAAGTTTAAGTTAGATGTGGATTTATTATTATTCAGTTGTTTAGTTTTAAAGATGCACACACACACTCCATCTATGGAAAACTGCGGTTTAGATTATATTTTTTATGTTGTTAAATATTAAAAACTATGCAAGGAAAACCGAAACTGAACAGAAATATTTTTATGCAAAATAAAGATACCGACCAAAAAAAAAAATGAGATGACCATAAAACATCAAATAATTTTTTACCTGTCAAAAAAACCTAACCTAATAGTTAAAAGAGTTTAGTTATTACATTTGAGTTGTTAGGAATTCAAATTTTGATTCTAACAAATTAGGCAAAATTAGTTTTTTAAATGTTTTATTCGACACCAAACAAACATGGATTAGTCAGTATCGTGTCAATAACGTGTACAAAATTATTATTCTCTGACGTTTTGGACGACTTTGTGGCATTTAGATAAATGGTCCGCAAATTCGGAATATGGGGTCTTCTTCAGTGGCACGTCCCTCCACAAATCTGGTGTTAAATAAGCGTATGTCTTAGCAATAGCGGCATACGTGGCTTTGGCTAAAATAAAAAATTAAAGCAAAGTTACAGTTTAGGCTAATTACTTTAACAAAAGTAATAAAAATCAACAACTCACCAAAATTTCCAAGAGTTCCGGTAGAACCACGAGCCGATGTATAACAATCTTCGATTCCAGCCATTGTTAATAATTTCTTGGGTACGGGAGCACTGACAATACCTGTTCCTCTCGGTGCTGGGATCAGTCGTACAGCAACTGAGCCACACTTTCCAGTAACCTTAAATTTTTTTTTTTAAAACAATAAATTAATTGATTTAAAATTAGTCGAAAAAACTCAGTGATACTCACCTTGCAAGGCACAGTATGTGGCTTTCCAATTTTGTTCCCCCAATAACCTCGACGGACTGGAACCACAGACAACTTGGCTAATATGATAGCGCCACGAATAGCTGTGGCCACTTCTTTGGAGCATTTAACACCTAATCCAATGTGTCCATTTGTGTCACCAATGGCTAAAAATTTAAATAAATTAGTTTTTTTTTTTTAAGTAGAGTTTGTAGAAATAATAATGGCTTTGATTATATCCCTCAAAACGTACAATATACAGTTTTTAATTCTAACAAAATATATAAATAAGGCAAGTCACAATTAAATTTTAAATATCTTAACCATACCAACAAAAGCCTTGAATCTGGTACGCTGACCGGCACGAGTTTGTTTCTGAACGGGCATGATTTTCAAAACTTCATCGTTGAGGGCTGGCCCAATAAAGAAGTCTACAATTTCAAATTCCTAAACAATAGTTATGATTAGGACAACAGCCAAAATTAAAGTAGATCATGTTTATGCTGGGGGGTTGCATGAATGTTCATTAGGGCCAAGTTTGGTGAATTAAATTTCAACAATAATTTTTTTACCAACGAATAAAGGCACATAAGTATCAAAAGTAAATCGTAATATTGGGCGACTCCAGAGGCACAACAGATTACTTTGAACAAAGGTTTAAATGAACATACCATGAAATTACTTGAAATCAAAGATTTTTACCTACAAACAAAACATTTAGAGAGTAATTTTTCTCGAAAATCGGACATCGTCTATTTGAAATTCACAAGTGTTCTTTGATCAACTATAATGATCCGATAAGGCACGACTACACCTAACGGTCTTAGGGGCCATCTACACATATACGTCTACACTTGCAATATGCAAGATTTAATTGATTGTCCAAATCTACCCAATTTTACGATAACTCGAGCAACCAATAAGTATTTACTTACTTTGATGGGCAAAGAGAATAAATAGATTTCTTCCAGAGACGCTATTTTACCATCTTTGACTAAACGGCCCAGTTTTGTTACTGGCACCCATTCCTTTTCGGCTTCCTTACCTCTGCCGCGGCCACGACCACGACCGCGTCCTCTACCACGAGAGCCACCCCGTCCAAAACCGCCACGAAAATTGCCTCGACTTTCAGCCATTCTAATTAAAATAAAAACAAAAAATTAAACCAAAGCACACGTCACGACTAACAAATAATCACACATGCTCGTACCACAAACCGATATACGTGCACTTGTTGTAAGTAATATCGATTTGAGTATTTAACATCAATCTACAATGCCGGCATGTACAATATACAAAACGACTTACCTTTAACGGATTGTCAACGAATAAAAACTATAATAAAGAACAGTTTCCAGAAAATTTGCGGATTACGCGAACTTAAAGTGTGGCTCCCATTTCCAGATAACCAACAACTCGAAAAGAACAATTTTTGGTTATGTTGTCAAGCGCAGGGAGCCGGGCGGCGATAGCGCAACACAATAATACCGTAGAAAAACGTTGGCAGTATTGATTCAAATACCAATAGCTAATTGCAAACTAATACCAACTACCGAATATGAACGATTTTCATTTATTCACCGTAATTCATAAATTACCTTTTGAAAAATAATTTACTTAATAACATTTTGAAAAATACCGATGCGAGGTGATTTTTTGTTAAAATGATAGACTCAAATTTCAATGCCTTAATGGGTTTAATCAGTTGTTGAATTATTTTTTCGTGATGTTTTTATACAATGTGATGTCAATTTTTCACAAACTTTTTATGTTTTTAACACCCTCCCAAATTAGTTATTTTTATAGCAACTTTTGAAACTTAAATGGTACCGTACCACTGTTTAACTTTTTAAATTAAAAATAATTTACTGAACATTTCGACTGATCGATAACCAGTTTTGAATAATTATTCTTAAAGTTATTTAAGTTTAAAGTTTAGGATACGTGAGGAAGTACAGTTGAGTAATGTATTCAGATAAAAATAGTACTACTCACTACCCTCCTTTCATCAGACACTTTAAACTTAAATAACTAAGAATAATAATCCAAACAGATTTGACCAGTTAAAGTTCAGTAAATTATTCCTAAATTAAATAGTTAATAAAATGTATACGTTACCATGTAAGTTTCAAAAGTTAATATAAAAATAACTGATTTTGAAGGGGAATAACAATATAAAAGTTTGTGAAAATTTGAGATGACTTGTATAAAAATACTTTAAATAAAAAAACTAATTTAACCTTATGATATAAGTGGATCACTTTAAAAAATCACCCTGTATCATAACAGTTCACTTTTAATATTAGTTATGGGGTAGCTGACAATACCTTTGAAATTTTGGAACGTCTTAATTGTTTTTTTTTTATTAATTAAAATACATGGTTTTAATTGATATTCAGTTTTTTTATTTTTAAATAATGTTTGAGACAAGATAAGTTTTTTGTCATATTTACTGAAAATATTCAATTTGACGCGGTCGTAATGTGGACGCAACCCACGGGTTGGGGTTAAATAAATAAGTTCAACACGGGGTTGCAGCCGTGTCAAATTATACCCAATTATTAATAATTAATATAAATATAAAAATATATTTTGAATATTTGATATATATTTAAAAAGTATGGAATAGTAAAAAAACAAAAATTAATTTCTGAAACCACATTCAAATGCAAAAAATATTACAGGGTATTTTTTAACTGTTTGCCAAAATAACATCTTAATATATTTTGTAAAATGTTTACCAGAACTTTTTACTTCTGAACAGCGATGAACAATCAATGTGTTTTTTTAAATTCTTATATCATATTAGAATTTGTCGCATTGTTTTTTGATTAAGACTTTTTAATTTAACACAATCAAACTTAAATAGTATATACCTATACGAATCACAAGTATTTGTAACCGTTGTAAGATGTCCTTTTTTTTTACATGTTTAATATAAATTTAGGTTGAATTAAAAAAAAAAATACGGAAAAATATCCTACAACTTTTTTATAATTCTTTATTACAACTTGTAACTCATATTATGTCAACTACACGCTATTACTAATATAGAGAAAAATGCAAGAAATATATTTAGCTTTTTCTTAATACTTTCATACTTTGATTATACATAAATAATTTAAAAAACAAAATAATTTTTTTTTTATTGTTTACTAATTACAGCTGTTAAAAAAAGTGACATAATTGCTGTGTATGGTAAAATTAATGCATGACCTACGACATAATATAATTTCTAGGCATTTAAACAGCTGAGTACAATCTGAAGAAAATAACCTTTAAAATAACAGGAATACATTTACAGTTTAATGTCATAACCAATCAAGTGTCTCTTGCCAATAACTTCACCAATGTAGAACCACATTAACACTTCTACGGCAACTAATGACTTTACAGTAGCTTCCTGTAAAAAAAAAAAAATAATTAACACTTTAAGTACCCTACGTGAAACAAATTCATAGTGAATATTAAAAGGATACATTTTTAAATATGTTATTCTTCTTTCTATTCTAGCATTTGGCATACTTGACTGGGAGTAGGCCTTTTTCAGGCCTAGTCCGGTCTCATTTCTGCCATGCTTAGAGGGGGGATGACGGTCTCTTCTCTTAGACAGGTTGTCCTCCCCAGTGAGAGGGACTTTTTGTGGCCGGATTCGAACCAACAACAGTGTGCGTTGGCACCGCTACCTAAAACTACTCGACAACTCCGTCCCCCTTTTTTTAAATTATGTTGGGTGGCGTTGTTAACTGTTAAGTTTATCGTCTAGTGAAATAAGCTGCCCTACCCCTCTCCGGCAATGGATCCAATGGTCAACCCTTCTCAGGTATAAATTATTAGTTGCACTAAAACCATTTGACCAAACAAATGTTTCACTTTGACTCAGAGCTGATATGCACATTGTTTTGCCAAGGAATAGTAAGTATAATGCAAAGGGAGATGATTTTTTTTTTAATCTTAACAAAAACATTTTACTGATGGCAATACACACTTTAACAGTTAGGTTCTTCCAGCGGCCGGTACGTGCTGTTTGGACGATTTTGGAAATGTCGCTACTGATTTCAGGCAAGTCGGACAATTTGGGTGGAGTTAATTCCACTTTAGCGTACTTCACAAAAGTCTGCAGGTTTGGTTTAGCCACAGTGACAAGAGCTATATTGTGTAAAATGGAATAGCAGATATTAGCATTTAGTAGATATTACGATTATTATCATATTTGGGTGCATCTAAAATGTCCCCACTTTTAAGGTTAAATGCTACTTACTGCTCACTAGGTTAGACGTTTTAGTAATTAATCCGCTCATTTTGATGTTTGTTGTTAACTTTGAAACTCACAAATCACACTAAATATAAATTACGACCGGAAAAATCGAAACGAGGTCTAATAATTATCTGTGGATTGTGAATGTCAAATAATTTTGTTCAATAATCGGAATGATAAACAAACAGCTGCTGCTGTACCGCTGCGGAGATAAAGGTTAAAGTTTGGGACTCCAAAGACGTTCTAAACATACTGCTGAATTTCCTAACAGTACATAAACTAAACCGGGAATATAATTTTTTAAAAAAAATTAACTGAACGAAATAAGAATAATATGTATATGTTATAAAAAAATTAATGGTCAAATTATTAAAAATAATAAATAATACTTTATTTAAATACAAATTCAAATAAAAAAATTATTTAAATAAAATTAAAAGAAATTGTACTTTAAAAGCAGTACAGTAACAGACGTTTGCAAATTTGTTTAAAAGTATAATTATTAATTACCAAGTATGGAAGTGATTTTATCACAATAAAAACATCACTATACAAATATGTGAATAGCAAGATTCTAGCACAGTATAGATCAGCAAAACTGTTTAAACATTTACCATTACAATATACAGTGACGTATTTATTGTCCTGGGGGTTAACCCTTCCCTCCAATTTTTTTTTATAGGACTCCTTACTGTAACAACATGATATATTGTTGACGAATGACAAAATATTTTAATACTGCTTTGAAAACTAAAAAAGTATATTTCATCTGTTAACAGGTAACTAATAGATATTAGCCGATCGATATAAAAATATCTACTTTTAGTGAATGGCGAACCACGTAATTTTTTTAATTTGTTCATTGTTTAGTGCGGCCAGAAGGCCTGTATAAAATCAAATCTTGATATCTGTCCCGTCGACATTTTAAGATTTCTCATACGGTTAGCACATAAGTATAAATAAATGCATTTTGATGTAAAATAAAACTTTATATTATGTGTCACATCATTTGCCAAGTTTAACAAGTAAATGCGCATTTTGGTAACAACAATTTTTACCAAAGAAAAACCCCTTTTTCACAGAACAAAATATCTGGATTCTGGTGTTATTATTGCAATAAATCGACACATTTGTTTTAAAAAACATATTTTTCTCTGGTTGGTGAGCAAAGAATACCCAACCACAGTGTAACATTGTAACAACAAATATATATATAACAAAAATAAAACTATAGAATTTAAAATATGTTGCTTCTATTTGAACAGATGCTTATTATCATTTACAATATACAAAAAAAGTTTCAATGTTCTAATTCAATGTTTTTACGATTCAAAAAATTAATTAAAGCGTTTTAATTATTTAAAGTAAAAAATTATGTTCTACTTCTTTTACAATAATAAGCTTGTTAAAGCTTTAGATTTCGTCAAGCCCTCTCCTCTCAATAAAAGAAAACAAATGTTTTCTCACAACCTTCAATAAGTATATCTAGTTGCAATATTTTGTGAACTAGTACGAATCATAAAAACAAAATGTGTTTTTGACAATTTCATGTCTTAGCTCTGGCACATAACCCTGGCAATTATCCGAAAAAATATACTATATCATTATCTATAATTCCACCACTACTCTAAATTTATTCAGTACTTCAACGAGACATGAAAATGCTCTTTCGTGGTTGCAGACTCGACTGAAAAACTTTTTTACCTTACATGCGTAGATTACAAGTTAAATACGTTTTACAACCATATTTTGCCTATGAAATTGTTTTTTTGCTTCGTTATTTATTTTTGATACAATATTGAATATAAACGACAAATTTTACTCTTGCATACTTTTAAATATTTCTTAACAAAAGAAAAATTATGTTGCCTAATCATACTACTGCAACATATATACATACACATACGCCATACATTCAATTACGTTATTTTATTTTATTTCAAAACAATTTAATTGCCTTAAACATTTTATTTTTTTAATTTATTTTACAGTTTTTTTAACAAAGTTAATTAAAATTTGTAATTAGATTGGTTGTCTCAGTAGTTCCTTAGTTTTAAAGATCTCATTTTTTTGGTATTTGCGCAACTATAGTATATTTTACGCTACGCTAAGAACACACTTGCGAATTCACAGATGGTTTTAGTTTTCATAATACACCAAACTCGTTTAAGTAGTTTAAACAAAAAATAGGAATAAACATACCTACATACATACATACAAACATGAACTATGCCTTAACATATTACCTTCCACAGCCAACACTTGTTGTTTTATTATCGTTGATCATATATATTATGTTATTCGACACTATGCCCATTTACAAAAAAAAAAATTATAACGTAGTACAGTTGAGAAAAATATTCACGACGATTTACGCGTTTTGTTATACAATTTCTTATTATAAGATACATACTAAAAATTGAAACATGATTTTTAAAAGCATTGTTCTATTACTATTTATTAATTCATTTGTATTGTCAGACAAGTATTATTTGTTAGAGTGTTTTTATAATAGGTATATGATGTACTATTTTACCATGCATAATCTTAATTTTCAAAACATTTTTAAAGAATCCAATAATATTACTTTTGATAAACTAAAAGAGTATAGCGATGAATTAAAAACTCAAGGAAACATCGTTATAGCTATGCTCGAGGAACTGAAACGCAAAAACCGAGTTATTATCTATCCTTCAACATTGATGTCGATGAATTTATACTTGAACAATGTATTTGAAACATTAATGGTAAGAACATTTCTTAAGCCACATGAAAATTATAAACAACCAATGTCACACGAATATAACAACAAAAACAATATTTTTAAAATTCAATTTGAGAAATTTAACACTGAAATCAATGAAGATATTTTGAATAAATGCTATCGAAATGATATGTGCAAGCAAATACACAAAATTGTATCTCACATTAGTTATAACAGAAATCAAGGTCTTGATAAAAAATTAATGACTCGCGATGATTTTGAAACTTATACCAAAGAACTTGAAGACTACAATGATTTGCTACCTGAGAAGTCGGATTTCATTTATAATGGTAAGTACGACACATTAGAGTTCCTCGAAGACGTGCAACAATTAGAAGACAGTAACGTTACCATAAAACATTTATTGGGCGCAGGCCGCGCAGCAAATACAAATTTTAAAACTTCTGTTTTCCATCCTAATAAAATGTTATTCAACGATCTTCTATCCCGTGAGAAATACACGGATGGGGTATTGGAGTTGACATTTGAATACGATACCGATATCAATTTATTACGTGACGTCACTATTAATGAACAACTGGCGGACGGACAGTATGCAAATATTATGGTATTATTTGAGATGATTAAACGTACCTTAAACGTGGATTATATCGAATCGTTTCAGCGGCAAGTATTGGCGGCATCGGTCTACCCCGTTCTCGCTTGTGTCGGTTCGTACCTGTCGTTGGTTACACAAATATTTTATTCAGGGCAAAATAAATACGGTGACGTGGTTACCAGAGCTGTAGCACACGGGGAAGAAATTGATAAAAGTGGCAAAATAATTCTGGAATTACTAAGATCGTTCATTAAGTTAAACTTGCTACCAGAGAAAGTGCTAACACATTTAACATTTACTGCAGAAGAGCTAGAAGATTTAATCGATTTTAAAGATAAAAAGCTTCTACAAACTAGGCACCCCAAGTGGATCGTCACAATATACAGACGCTGCTCACGCCCTATGACGTTAAATTATTTGTTATTTCCACAAATTGATGCGCCATCCATGAATATGAACAGCGCAGAAAATGTTAACGATATGATAACTACGTTAAACACTAACATAGAAAAAGTCAACAAATATAGAGAAGCTTTAGAAAAAAAATACATAAAAGATTTTCAAAATGTAGTTAACGGAAATCCATTATTTTCTTACAATCGTATGTTTGTGGATAAAATGAACTTCAACATTGTAAAAATTTACAAAGATGGTAAGTGAAAAATTATAATTTATTTAAAAGATATCTATTTTAAATAAACTTCAATTAAAATTGTGGTAGTTATCTAAACGTTAAAACTATTTGTAATCACAGTCTAAACATTTAAATAAATGTTAATTTATGTTATATTTTATGGTTTTAAATCTAAAACTGTTTAGAAATGAAACAGGGGCTGTATCAAATAATAACTTTAGACAAAAATTGCGACCTTTGGCTCACCATAACTTTTTAATGTCTTCGTCATACTAACCAACTTCAATAATGATTAACGAAAAAAATGATTTTTATTATGACGAATAAAATGGCCGCTAATGCTAATAAAAAATCAAGTTGCACTAATTTTGTAGATTTAGATTAATTAAAAATAAAATCCCCATAATGAAGCTGACATTTTTTTATATATAAATCGTAACTTTATTTTAGTAAGAAAAAAAAAATATGGTTGCTACCTAATTTTCATAGGTTGCCAGAAACGACACAGAATACTGGACAATACTTAGCATATTTTGCATTTTTTATATTTATATAATATTTAAAAAAAATCAGATTTTAATATCAAATTGTATCTAAAAGTGTAATAGAGAATTATAGGTATAACATAATTATTTGAATAACTAAGCGAGGTACAAAATATTTTGTTGTGGTTTAAAACATTTTTATTTATGTCTATTAGATTACAACAAAATCATGAATGAAACCAAGATTAAGAGTCAAAACACACCGAATTTTATGAACGATTAAATTGTATTTAAAAATATTTTTACTAAAATAAAGTATCTAATTATATTATAAAATATTATAGATTGTCTATGATATAGGAATTGCTAAAAAATTTTAAAAATATTATTATAATTGAATGTGTAATGACCATTGTATTTGTTTGAAATAAATTGATTTATGAAATGAAAAGGTTTGCTCACACAATTTTTAGGTTGGTTAAATACATGCGAATTCGGATTATTATAATTTGTATATTTATTTGTGATACTTAACGGACTTCAATAATTAATAAGGTTGCTGAAATAACGAAAGAAGAAGAAACCACAATAGTTGGTTTTTTTTGTTACAAATATTTTGGTAATTAAATGGACAAATGGTCGCAACTCGCAAAGGCTTTTAAATTACTGTTTTTTTTTACTATTTTATTATCACATTTGTTTAATTAAAACTCTATGGCCGCCGGACTGAATGTATCTTGTTAATTTATACATAATGTTCAACAATGAAGATATTAGAGATTTTGGGTACGTCTTAGAAATTGAAAGGGAGAATTTGGATCAAGGGGAAAAGTAGTACAGGGTAAGGATGGTTGAAGCTTTTAAAATGGGATTTCTGGGAGGTTCGCTAGAGGAAGGCGTTCTGACTGGTCTCAGGAAACTGTTCATGTCCATGGTAGCCTGGTCATGTCAGGATCCGGTGGCTTGTATCAGCCCAGACGCCTTCTGCGAAGATATCAATGAATGTTTAATTGACAGACACTTATCTCAAAATTTTGTGAAACAATTTTTGATGGTACTTCATTGGTACGATCTAGAGGTCAAAGGTTTTGAAGGACGTCTGGATTATCATAGTTTTGGTTTGTAGGTATTAGATAGGTATGAAAGGATTTTTGAAAAAGTGCAATAAATTTCGCGATGAAAAAAATTGCGAACATTTTTCAAATAATTTTTTTTGCGTGAAAAGTCTCTTTCGATTGCAATTTTTTAACCATAACTTTAGATTTTTAAACAATGTGGACGATATTTAAAAAAAATTAAAACCTTAAAATATTCACTTTCCGCAACACGAGTCAACCAATACAAAGCAATTTATTTTGTTGGTAAGTATCAATGATTTTGTAACCACTCCCCCCAGTCAGCCTCTGGCGATAGCCATAACATGATAACATTATATTTATATATATACTATATATTATAAATAAATATATAAAATAGGTATATATTATCCAGTATTACTATATACTACTACTGGACTATGTTCGGAATATACCATAATTACGTTATTATTTATAGTAAAAAAATGGTTTACTGTTAAAACTTATAACATTTTTCAAAAACAACGTTTTTAACGTTTCATCGTGACTCGTTTTTAGTGTGGTACCTATACTGTTTACATTACATACAGATGCAGTAAGGCAAATTTGAATAGGCCTTATACAAAAACAACCAAAAATCTACTCAGGTTTTAGAGTTAAAATGAAAATAAATAATATAAAATTCTGATTTTCAATAGTAAATAAAGAAATAAGAATAAAAACAGGTCTCTTTTAACATACATGTTATTTTATTTTGACCACAAGTTAATACAAATTGCGTATGAAAATACTTGACAATAAATACATTATGATGAATATTAAAATGTTGGCCGAGATTAAACAAGTACACCTAAAATAAACATAATACTTTTTTTCGAGTAACACTATTCAGTGATTTGAATTTAAAAAAATCATTATTCATTTAGTACTTTGACAAAGTTAATGAAAAAAACTTCCGCAATTCTCCATAGATTTTAGTTTTTTTCTTCTAAATTTACTTTTTTTTGTTATCTATTTGTTTAGAATGTTTTAAAAAACATTTTAAAAACTTGTCTCTTTACACATCGGATTCCAAAACATAGCTTAAAAATAATATCTTTATCTGTAATTATTTACCGTAAGCACTACATTGACTTTGTCTAGCACACAAGATATGTTTATATTTATATTGATACAGATAGACATGGACATATTTGGCAAAACCAAGACCTCCGTCCGACTTCCCGTATATTATAATATATAAGAGGGAAAAAAAAGTAGTTTTGTTTTAGTAATTAGCAAACTTAAGACAATTATTATGTTGTCCATAATAATTTATTAGTCCAAAACTTAAATTTTTAAGTTCACAAATTAATAAATAATAATGCAATACAAAAATCAGTAATATGAGTAATGATGTAAATAGTACTTTCGCTAACTGTTAACATTTAATTGCAAATGACCGTTGTCGTACATCACATTTATCGCTACTGTATCACCTTTATGGACATTTGACGGACGTTCCACTATAAATGCACACTGATTCACGTATGAGTGTTCATTGCCGGTTGTCACTTTGTGATCGTGGTAAATGTTAATTTCGAAGAAATACACAATAGCGTTTAGACACCCATCTGCGGTAATAGGAACGCTTGCGACAGTTGAGGTTTCCCTGGACATTTGATCTGACGCAAGTGATAAACACAGTTGACAATTTGAAAGGCGAATACTAGTTACTAAATTTTTGAACACATCCAAATGATGATTTACCTGTTAAACGTTTGAAAAATTATTAAGAGGATCGGAGCACTTAGTATACAAAGTCAACAATTTTTGATTTTTTAATAAATACTACAACAATTAAATATACTCAAAAGTTTTAAACAGAAATTCTGAGTATTAACGTACTTATTTTTTTTAACAAACTTAGTAAAAAAAATGGTCAAAATATTAAACTTATAAGGATAATTTTAGATTATGTTTGAACAAAATAGGCTAAATGTTAGGTAAATTTCGATAACAACTGTCAGAAATCACCATTGCTTCCAATGAGTATTCTAGATTTACAATTATTAGTAGTTTTTTTTGTTTGGATACGCAGAACTGCAAAGAACCCCACGCTCACCTAACTAAGAACGCTCCTGGAAGTTCAAAGGTTATTTTAGTTTTTATTTTACATCAAAATGGCTGAATAGTTAAAACGGAAATAGGAACAAACTAACACACATGCAAGTACATACATATACAAACATGAATTCTGCCTAAACACATTACTCTCCTAAATATATCATGATTAACTTTAAAATTATTCAATTTAATTCTTGTATTTTCAGAAATGGCATATAAATCTGCATTAGATTAACAAAAAAACATTTTTTAATTTTTTTTTACGCGCTGGTTTTACTATAAGTAAAACGGTGATGAAAATCAACATTTTTTATCTACCTAATATTTTATATTTTCAATATTTAGCTTTCTTTCTTCTAATCATTTATGCTTTAAAAAATATAAAAAAAAATTTCAAATTTGTTCAATCAAAAATTTAAAGCTCAACAACAGTTAGATAAAGCATTGATGATAATATATAAATACATTTTTTTATTAAACTTTGATAACCAGGTTTCTGGCTTAATAAGATTTTTTATTATTATTTATTAACTGTCTGTAATAACAACTTACGCTGTATGTATTCATAAGATTACGAATATGAACATTACAAATTTCGTGTTCAACTACACTACTAACTTGCGGTAACCATTTTGAATAAACTAGTTGACATTTAATCGATAGCTCCGTTGGTAAAATTATGCCATTTGGTCTTAATATTTGTCTAAAAGAAAAAGTAGGTACAATTAATATTTTTTCTATATAAATTAGAAAAGAAAATTGAATTACCTATTTTAAAAATGATTGGATATAAAAATAACAGAACTTAAACTTCTTATGCTATCACAATAGTAAATTTGATAGATTTCACTTATTCAGCTCATAACTCATAAGTTAAATAAGTAGGTATAAATTAAAAATACTACCATGTTCGAGTTAAACCAATATGATAATACGTTTTCTTACTTGAAGTATGTTAGTTCATTTATTAGACTTATATTGAGTTCTCCGTAAAAATTTATATAATTCATGATTATGACGTCAAATTTTTGTGTATTTTTTTTCTGGTCAAAGAGATTTATTTTCTTTTTGGCATTCCCTGAGACATTTGGATTACATTTCCACAAAGCTTCGGTCAGATTTTCATTTGAGTAAAATAATTGTACCTTATCACAACCATTTGTAGAATCTAATGACAGCACTTCAAGACCGAAAATTGGAAACGGACATAGATCTAAAATAGTGATATTTTGAAAATTTGATTGATTTTCAGAGTACCTAAAACAAATATACTATTTACTTTTAAATTCTGATTTATCTCGTCTGATGTTTACCATTGCTTTGCAGTGTTAATGTAAGTTTTGACTTGACTGTCGTCATTTAAAAAAGATATGATTTCTCTGTCTAATGAAATTGACAGAGGATCTTCGATTTTGTCATACAAATTAAGAACAAAATGATCATTTTGCCATTTGAATTGAACAGTTAGTTCTTCACCTGGTTTGACTCTTTTGGTCTTCTTATAAATAAACAACGATTGTTCCCAACAGCAATTTTCGTTTTGTGTATCCAACGTATCGATTACAATGTCCTCAGTTAAATGCACAACAAACCATGAAGCAATTGCGTCCACTACACCTGTACGAGATACCTGATAGTTAACGGTTTTCATTTCTTGATTTTCAGTACTTAACAAATAGTTTATTTCAGAAGGATCATTAAAGTTGACTTCCATAACTACTCGAGGTTCGGCTAATAAAACATAACCTCCGGGTAACTGATTTAATTTTTCGCAATCGTACGGTTCATCGAGCATTGAACATAAATTAAGATGTTTAAAGTACTGTTTTTTTTCTCCATCGTAAATATTCCTTTGGCGAATGTAAGAACATTCGATGGGTACTGCATAAACTGTAGCTCGAAGAGGAATAACACACCCGTGCGGCAGCTCTGGATTTTCTTTAGACTTGGGAGGCAACAACAAATTTTCCCAAGCATGTTGGAGAGTACTGAGAATGTGTTCACCAAACAAGCCAGCGTCCATTGTTTCAGTTATAACCAAAGAAACGCTGAAATACAAACAGTTATTTTTAATCATTGGGCAATTTAAAATTAGTCGACATTTTTCTCATCAGGTAAACTGTTTAATTATTTTTGTTAGTTAGTTAGATTTTATAATTACCAAAAGTAGCTGTTTTAAAATATACCACAACTGACGGAAAAAAAAGTAATTCTTTTAAAATTATGTTTTAAAGCAGGACGTGTAGCTCGACCATGGATGGCTGTGGTTAAACCATAGGTTGATATATAACATTGGACTAAGATATCAGTCCAAGAAAGCAAACAAGATGAGAGATAATTACCGTTCTTCAATGTGTTCTGGAATAGAAATTTGATTAGAATTTATGTTGAACAATTTGATTGAATTTTCCATTTTGTTTAAAACCATCACCTCCGAAGCAATTTTCGACATGATTGGAGAATAGTCACAAGAGTATATTTTTTCTGGATGGTATTCCGCTGCGTACATACTAAAATATTTATTAAATAAATTAATATTTAAAAAAAAATACAACTGCTTGTTTGTTCACCTTAAAATAAGAGTACCGCTACCGATGTCCAAAACTTGATTATAGCCTTCTCGTATTCTGCAACCAATGGCTTGCTTGTAAGCTAAATTTCGTTTTGAATCGTTTAACATTCTGTAATGCCAACGTTCTATGTAATTGCTCTTAACAATTTGCAAATTTGTTAAGGCTGGTAAATACTGACTGTTGATGGCTAGTGCTTTTTTTACAAATTGTTCTCCTTCTTCGTTATAGCCTAATCTATATAAAGCGGTAAACAAATACTAACATTGTTTTAAAAGTTAAAAATATAATACAAGTGTCGTTTGAAAAATGTTAAACCTTATAAGATGAGATGCCAAATTGTTGAATAAAGTTTCACAATCTGGAAACCATTTCAACGCACTTTCATAGAATTTGAAAACTTCGGAGTAACATTGGTTGCTTTCAAGTTCTCTTCCATAATTACCTAAAATAACATTTTATAAATAATACTATTCAACATTTAGGGATATTGGAGTTTTTACGACCAACGAAATAACTTACATAAACAAGTTACAAATTTTTGTTGAACTTTACTTTTGTGATGCGGTGCTATTTCTAATAAAACCGAGAGATGGACAAATGCAGGTCCATACTCCAATCTCTCTATAGCTTGATCCGTTAGTCTCAGCAACTTATTGACTATAGTATTGGCTGATTGGTTGCTCATTTTCAACATTAAGCATAGTATTTTTTTTTGTTATGGGTACACTTTACAGTGTATATTATTTTAAACTATTCGTTTTTAATTAATATGAGTCAATTTAAAAACATACATTCTGATTAAATAAAATAAAAAATCACTATTAAAACACTATAGGTAAAGTTTGTTATTATATAATAATTATATTATTATAACTTATTGCTTCTAACATTTTTAAATATGATTTTGAATTAACAGTTAGATTTTTTAATTTTCACGTTTAATATTTATGAGTGATAACAGATAAATGACAACCTAAAAATGATAACAATTAACAATTATAAATGTTATAACTTTTACGATTTACCTCTGTAATTAGTATTACGTATCAGTTTAAGTATAAATATATAATGCATTCAGTATAATACTGAATATTGTGTTGTACTCTGTCTGTCGTGACTTTGACAAAGACAAGACAAATAAAAGTTGATAATTATTACATAAAATACAAATGTATTTCTAATTTTATAATTGTTGGTTAAAAAAAAATTACAAGAATGAACACTCAAGAAATTCTAATACCAGTTCCTTGGGGTCACATTTCTGGTAAGTTTTCTGTGCCAACTGTTTAAATTTGTTTTTATTTCTTAAGCAACAAATTTAAATTTTATACTAGATTATTTATTTGTTAACTATGATTGTATTTTACACTGATTTATATCATAATAATATTATTGATTATGGTTGTTGGGTTTTAATTGTTTTAAATATTCTTGTAGTATCAATCCCTGTTTTGTACGATTAAAAAATAAGTACATTTTACTACCTTATTTTAACGGTCGTACCTTCCAAGATAAAAAAGACTGCAGTGTTTCTAAGTTTCAAACAGGGTTGACTTATTTATGAAAAGTTGTTGAGCATTATAAAATTATCAGATTAACTGTTTTCTCTATCCAACCGAATAAGTCACGATGCTCAGTCCCTTTTGCCATGTAGCCGTCAATTATATATTCCTTATAGTGTATTTAAATTATAGCAAAACAATTAAGAATACTTTGAACTTTAATCATGTATAATATTACAGTCATGTTGTTGACTATGTAATTTATGTTATTGAGTAACTAACAATAATTTATTGTTAACTAATATGAATAGTTTGGTAAACAAAAACGAACATTTAATTTCAGCTAAAACCTGGGGTAATCCTTTGGCCACTAGAGTTCTTTGTATCCACGGACGACAAGATAATTGTGAAACATTTGATCGGCTCATCCCGTTACTGCATACAGGTTTCTATTTTTTATGCATAGACCTCCCAGGACACGGGCAATCATCACATTTTGGTGCTGGATTTCGAATTACCCTGGAGCACTTTATGATCTCCTTGAAGCGCGTTGTCGACTATTTAAAATGGACAAAATTTAAATGTATTGGTCACAGTTTGGGTGGTATGGTTGCTGGTTTGTTTGCTGCCATCTACCCAGAACATTTGGATCAACTTGTAATGTTAGATTGTGCTGGCCCGATAAGTATACGGCCCGAGGATACAGTCAAGAGTATGAGAAAAGTTTGTGATGACTTATTGAATTTAGAGAACAAAACAGCAAACCGAGGGCCGCCGTCTTACACCTATGAGCAAGCTATAAATTTATTACTGACAAAGAGACCATCTAAATTGACTCCAGAGTCTGCAAACGTGTTAGTAAAACGTTCTTTACAAACAAACAGCGATGGCCATTATTCGTTTACTACCGATCAAAGGATGAAATTAAGTTATAACATAATACAGTCTCCAATGCAACAATGGATGGTCGTACAAAGTATCAAATGTCCGTTGCTGTACATTTGGGTTACGGACAATCCAGAACAAAAACGAAATGATGTTAAATCAACAAGGAAACTGTTCAAAAGCATTCCCAATGCTCGAGTCGTTAGAGTTAATGGAAACCACGACGTACATTTGAATCATCCCGAACGAATTGCAGATTTAATCAATGTGTTTTTTGTTTCTGAAAAATCTAAGCTTTAACTATACACTTTATTTAAAATTTATTCAAGGAAGTTAATGGGTATTTTTTTTTTTTATATAAATAATTATGTAAGGCATTTACGTTTAAAAATCTATTAAATAATATACATATGATTATTAGTTTAATTCCTTTAAATTCCCTACAAAAAAATTGATTCACCTTTTTTATCCAAAATTTAACTTTTTCCTTATTTATTTTGGTTACAGCAAAAATGTATGGTAACCACTGTAATTCTGCCGTATTATGCGTCCACGGAATTCAAGACAACTGTGATACGTTTTCAACGCTTCTGCCGTTATTACCAAAAGAGTATTACTACGTTTGTATTGACTTACCAGGCCACGGTCACTCTTCACATTTTCCCCAATTTGTGCCGTTAGAATTTACAAATTACCTAAGTGCAATCAAATTAGTCAAAGATCATTTTTGTTGGTCTCAATTTGTCTACTTAGGCCATAGCTTTGGAGGACAACTGGGAACTTGGTTCACCGCTCTTTATCCTGAGTGTATTAAATGCCTTATAATTCTGGACACTATGGGACCTCGGGACGTTGAACGAAAAAATACGATGGAAACTGTTAAAAGTCGCATTGATGATTTTCACATTTTACAGAGGCGACAGAGTGGTCGTGATCCGCCAGTTTATACATACGATCAAGCAGTCGATAAAATCAGAAGTGGACGACCGTCTAAATTGACAGATGAGTCTGCACATATACTGGCTAAAAGAAGTTTAATCAGAGTAGACGAAAATCGATTTAAATTTGCCTACGATCAACGCTTAAAATTGCCATTTCATCCGGTCATGACGTTTGACCAGCATGAAAATATTATCAATCGTATATCATGTCCAACCATATTTGTATTGGCCGATGAAAACTGTGGGCGCTATTCAACATACTTGAAAAACGCTTATGAGTTTTACAGTACAAGACCCAACATGACGATTAGGACTGTTAATGGCAACCACGATGTACATTTAAATCATCCTGACCGAGTATTTGCGTTTGTTTCAGAATTTTTGAAACAAAATTACTAAGAAGAGATGTTATTTGTTAGAATTTATTGTATAGTCATACTTTGTTTTTTTTTTTCAATTGTTTGTTGGTACTAAAATATAATTATTTACTATAGTTGTTGTGATTATTCTTCTCAAACTATCAACTTTTATTTTTTAATTTTTGTCATACAATTGTGGGTCTATCACTCAATGTGGTTTAATTGTTTTTTTCTATTCATATCACAGAACTGGTGGAGGGCTTCCCTGAGTCAAAATTCCTTGTAAAATGATTTACAAAACCTTTGTATGCTTAATTTTTAAAAACTTAGTAAATACTTTTTTTTCAGATAGAATTTTTGTAATGAAAAGTGCGCATAATATCTTATTATTTTTAAAACTATGATTAGATATTAGAAAAACCTTTATATTTGATTTTTAACTAACACAATAACTATGTTAAAAATTCTTGTTACTCAGGTTAGTGGCGCTGAGGGAGATATAAAATAATGGTGATGTGGTATGTGATAGTTGATTACTTAAAATTTGGATACTTTTTATGTATATTACACCTATACTGCCAAGCGGTGAAGTTCATAGGCGAATCAGAAGATAATTTAATTTAGTTTTTTAATTCGTAGTTTTTGTTGGAAAAAAGTTCACAAAATATTTTTACTTTTCAAGTTATTAATCAGACAAAAATTCTTCATATTTTTCCAAATTGGTATTTAGTTACATATTTGCTCAAGTATAAATGGGGTAAGTCTATTTGACGGTGTTCTAGACTGCAAAATCATGTTGAATATTTTATCACACCTAAAAGTATTCTCGCAGGAAATTTGTTTTGAATACATAATGATAAAAAAATTGGGATATATTTTGTAACTTACTGAGAAAGCCACCGCTCGAACAGGGAGACAAGGGATTCAAACAAGACTCAACAAAATGAAGAGTATATTTTTTTTCAATTTGAATCCGGGATCTAGCATGAAGTCAAAAATAACGACCACCATGATGGACACACTTTGGGATTCTCCCATTATTGTGCGTTCCTATAATATACTAGGGAAATGTCTATTGTACTTTATTAATATCTCATTCTCCCTGTATTCATCATAATATGCCGCGGTTGCTTTTCCTTCACAGTGGATAGTTGTCAATTGGAAACTACTGAAATTGCGTTTGTATTGTGTATTCTAGCAAAACTGTGGGGCGAACAGTCACAACGCGAACGAGTGTTGTGCGTGCATGGCCTGCAAGACAACTGCGGTTCGTTCGATCGTCTTATTCCACTACTGGACCGCCGCAAAGTTTACCTGTGCGTGGACCTGCCCAATCATGGTCATTCATCCGGCACTCCTTTGGGCACGCGGTGGACTCATGTGGATTACGTGATATGCCTGAAACGTATAGTCGACCATCTGCGGTGGCCCGATTTCTGCGCGTTGGGCCACAGCATGGGCGGACAGATTTTGACCATATTCGCCGCCGTCTATCCGGAACACGTGTCACGACTGGTGGTGTTGGACACTGCCGGGCCTATACCCGTGGAACCCGACGAACTGGTTCCGTTCGCTCGGCGAGCCTTTGACAGTCTGTTGAGCAAAGAGAACGGGCCGGCTTTTTTAACCGCACCACCGACGTACACTCGAGCCCAAGCTTTTGCCCTCATCAAGCACAGATTTTACGGGCCGATGACGGACGAGGCAGCCGAGGCGTTACTTGTCAGGTCCGCGAAGCGTGGCAGCGACGGCATGTACTCGTTCAACGCGGACCAAAGGCTCAAAGTGACCAACAATCCGATGTTGTCGCCCGAAAGCCATTTGAACGTCGTCAAAAGTGTCAAGTGCCCTACACTGCTTATAAGAGCCAAGGACAGCGTGGAGTACTACGGTACCATCTACAAACAGGTGTTCGACATGTTTGAAACGAACCCGTACTTCGTGATGACCGATGTGGAAGGAAACCACGATGTCCACTTAAGTTACCCCGAAAGGGTTTATGGGATAATAAACCGATTTTTGAATGAAAAACTTAGCAAATTATGAAGCAAATTATATATGTATATATATAAATATGTATATATTTTTTTGACGTTGGTGATTTCCTTTGAGGTTTAAATTCCTTAAATGCAGTAATGCAGGGTTTTATTTTTATTTTTGCGAAAACTGATTGTAATCAAAATTTTTTTATATAGTTATCTATTAATATTAGTAGGTATTTAATAGAAATTAATGTAAGACTTTGCACAATTTTTGTCGAAAATCTCAGAACCGTGTACTGTAACTAGGCACAAATTTATTGTAGAATTAACTGGCATCTATTTAATAAATCTTTAATTAATACACAAATAGATAAAACTTATACCCTTTACGGAATTATTGTATTTTCAAGCCTCCGTGTAATGTGTTAACAAACACAAATATATACAATTTTATATTAAAAACAATAAATTAAATTATTATATTATTGTATAATACATTTAATTATTTAATAAAATAAAGCTGAAATAAACAAGCTAAGAAGAAACATTCAAAACCGTCGAAGTGGGATGTTGAGTCGTGGATTCTCCCTTCTTCACGACAACACCGGGCCCCACACGGCACGGATTTCTCAAGAGCTGCTCACTATATTTGGATGGGAAATCGTCAACCACCCCTCTTATTCACCTGATTTGGCACCGTCGGATTTTCATCTGTTCACTAAATTGAAGGAGTTTCTGGGTGGGAAACGTCATTCCAATGACGACGAAGTCAAGCAAACGGTGGAAAAGTCGCTGTTAGCGCCAAAGGTCTACGACACGGGCATACAAAAGCTTATCCACCGACTGCAAAAATGCATTGAACTTGTAGGCGATTATGTTAAAAAAATGGTTTATTATATTTATGGTATATCTTGTAAATTTTATTAATATATTCGCTTTTTTTAATTTTATATATATTTTGTGACCTTACTTTCAAGATGGCCTTAAGGTTAATTATTCCGTTTTCATTGTTTTTTTTTTAAATTGTGCAATTTGACGTCCTTGATTAACGAATAAATTATAAACCCAAAGTAAAATAAACTTAGGTACTCTATTCGTTAAGTTAATGAATTGTATAATACCTAGAATAAAAACTTAATAAGTTCAATATAATGCGCTGGCCGCTGAGTATTTTCTTGTACTGTTGTCTGTCGGACTTTTTTTAATAAGACTTAAAAGACAAGACAAATTAAATTTTGTTGAAAAATATATTTTTAATTTTATAGTTGAAGTTATCAAAAAATATAGGAATGAATACTCAAGAAATTTCAATTCCAGTTCCTTGGGGTCATATTTCCGGTAAGTTTTCTATGCCAACTGTTTAAAAAAAATTGTTTAACTTAATAATTTCAAATTTAAATCACATGTTTTACACGAATATATTTTATATTAGGTAACTACGTATAATATACAAATATGGGTATACGTATCCACTATGACATTTTTTGGATATTTTTTAGTCAAATGCCCATAGTTCCACATTGATCTACATTCCACGTACATTTTTTGTTTAAATACAATGATTCATGAAGGATAATGCATTCAATTTCTCAAAAAAATAATTACAATTTTATAATTTTTTTTTTTTGATAACATGTTTATCAATGTTACTGTAAAAATTATAAGACCTCTGAGATTAATAAAGATGAGCACCATCAACTTTTGAAACTTAAAAAGTAACAGATACATTTAACGAACTTAGTTTGGTTGCGGATAATTTTGGTGTAAAGCCTGAATATAACCATTAAAATTAAAATTAAAAATATTATGGCCAATTTCCAACAATTCAGCCAAGGCATATATAAAGTTTCGTCTAACTGCTGCAGACAATATAATATACAATTACCTATTACAAATGTCCTGTTATAACAATAACGACTGCTTTACATTTTCTCCCGATAAATTTATTGACAATCTTTTTATAGAAGCTTTTCCCCTTTTAATTTTGGTTACAGCAAAAGTGTATGGCGACGACTGTAATTCTGCCGTACTATGCGTCCACGGAATTCAAGACAACTGTGATACGTTTTCGACGCTTCTGCCGTTATTACCAAAAGAGTACTACTACGTTTGCATTGACTTACCAGGCCACGGTCACTCTTCGCATTTCCCCCAATTTTTGCCGTTAGAATTGACACATTTCCTAATTGCAATCAAATTAGTCAAAGATCATTTTCGCTGGTCTCAATTTGTCTACATAGGCCACAGCTTAGGCGGGGCAGTGGGCACTTGGTTCGCAGCCCTTTATCCAGAGAGTATTAAATGCCTTATAATTCTCGATACTATGGAACCTCGGGCCGTTGAACGAAACAATACGGTGGAAACTGTTAAAAGTCGCATTGACGATTTACACGTTTTGCTGAGGCGACAGAATGGTCGCGATCCGCCAGTTTATACATACGATCAAGCCGTTGATAAAATCAAAAGCACACGACCGTCTAAATTGACAGACGAGTCTGCACATATACTGGCTAAAAGAAGTTTAATCAGAGTAGACGAAAATCGATTTAAATTTGCCTACGATCAACGCTTAAAATTGCCATTTCATCTGGTCATGACGTTTGACCAGCATGAAAATATCATCAATCGTATATCGTGTCCAACCATATTCGTATTGGCCGATGAAAGCTTTGGGCGCTATTCAACATACTTGAAAAACACTTACGACCTTTACAGTACCAGACCCAACGTGACGATTAGGACCGTAAAAGGCAACCACGACGTGCATTTGAATCATCCCGAACGAATTGCAGATTTAATCAATGCGTTTATGTTGTCTAAAAAGTCTAAGCTTTAATTGTATACTTTTTAATATTTTTTTAAGCAATGCACTAATGGACGGTTGATGACATTTTTTAAATAAAAATAATAATGCACGGTGTATACAGAAGAAAATATCATAATTTTGTTTATTAGTTTTATTTTTTTTTTTAATTTCTCCCCCAAAAGAAATGTTGATACTTTTTTATCCTAAGTTACCTAAGCTTTTTCCTTATTGATTTCGGTTACTGAAAAGTGTACAGTAACAATAGGTACTGTAATTTGTTCGTAGTGGTTAATAGTAGGTACTACTATTTTTTATATTACCAAAATATTTGGCGAAGAAAAAATATAGCTACCATATATTTTTAATTATTAAAATTAAAATTAATGTATTTTTTTTTTCCCAATTTAGTTTTATACTTACTTTTTTAGTAAGTAAAAATGGAGAAGGTTTTTAAACGTTTTTCGTGGTAAAAGAGAACAGACCGGCTTTAATTGCATCACCGGCGCGGCGTACACTCGAGCCCAAGCTTTTGCCCTCATCAAGCACAGATTTTACGGGCCGATGACGGACGAGACAGCCGAGGTGTTACTTGTCAGGTCTGCGAAGCGTGGCAGCGACGGCATGTACTCGTTCAACGCGGATCAAAGGCTCAACAAAGTGACCAACAATCCGATGTTGTCGCCCGAAAGTCATTTGAACTTCGTGCAAAGTGTCAAGTGTCCTACACTGCTTATAAGAGCCAAGGACAGCGTGGAGTACTACGGTACCATCTACAAACAGGTGTACGACATATTTGAAACGAACCCGTACTTCGTGATGACCGATGTGGAAGGAAACCATGAGGTCCACTTGGGTTACCCGGAAAAGGTGTCCGGAATAATAAGCCGAGTTTTCAACCACCTTAATGACTTAAATCTACGTAAAGATAAATGCATATTTTGTTTATATTTTCGCAAACATTTCAAGTAATCAACGATCAGTGAATTACATATTTACACAACAATAAAATATATTATAGAACAAGGACAGAATTCGTATATTCATTAAGAATAATATATTAAAAAGCTAAATCTCAAAATTTAAGCATTTGATTTTTGTATTATGAAATAAAATGTCTTACCCAATCCATTTGGCAAATAAATTTAAATATTTTTTAATAAGTTTTGGCCAGATATTAATTTTATTTTTGATTTAATTTCTGGTCAAATTATATTTGTAATTAATAGAAATTGTTGCAAGACATTGCAAAATATTTATCCTCAAGGGACCTTCCAAGTTCATTCTGTTCAAGCACAAATATATTAATTACTGTTCTATTAATCCCTAAATAAATAAAACCTATGTATCCTTTATGATATTACTGTATTTTTAGGCCTGTATAATGTGTAACAAAAAAAAAAAAAAGATGAAAAATATATTTTATTGAATAAAATTGAAATGTTGTCATTACCGATGGGTGATATTCTGTCCTAAAAGCAAAGACATTTTTTGGGGGAATTTTATTTTGTATTTAAAACAGGAAAATCGGGTTTTTAAAAAAATGTCCCATGTTTATACCATCGATAAAGGAACATAAGTTATTGGATTTAGGATGCGGTTTTAAAAAAAAAAAACACCTACATTTATATACAAAAAAAAAGAAGACATTTAATAAAATGTTATCATATAAGATGTTTTAGGTGGTAGATAATAATTAATCATCAATTCATTTTCTATATTCTAATTAGTGTAGTTAACCTATAAACATTTAACAAATATTAGAATGTAACACATATCTAACGATTAACAAAAATAATAATGAATACAAAATAATGATAATAATAATAATAATATATTCCCAAATCATTCTAACTTAAAATTTAAAAAAATTGTATAAAGTACTACCATGATTTCACTGATCATATGTAACAATTATTTTTGGTTTCTGAACATAAAGGCCAAATAATCCATAGGACATGTTTTAATTTAATTTTTCCGTTTTAATATTTAACAAAAAAATTATATAAAAAAAATAAAAAGTTGCTAGTACATTGTAATTGGATCTTTGTAAATAACGATTAAATGGTACAGTTTACTCGTCGTAGGTAATACATACTCCATTAAGTGTCCAAAAGTTAGGACATAGTAATTAAGAAAAAAATGTTTTTGCTTGACAAATAATACATGCACAACAATTTTTCTATACCATACACCGTTGTAATAATTTCGACCTAAAACTTGCAAAATAATAAAATATATATACTTTAATACGAAAATTAAAAAGTGAAATGACAAATATATTTGATAAATACAAATAATATGTAATTATTGTATTTATATATATATATTAATTACAATATTATAATATTGTATGTACAATCAAAATGGAATAAATCAGTACCTTTTCTCCTACGATCAGTCACTGAATAGTTGCCATAATTAAGATTTGTAAATGCAAATCCTAATAACTATAATTCAGTTAAAAAAAAAAATTAACTATTTTATTTTTTATTTTTGAAACTAAACAGTTCACTTTTCTTGGCCGTTAATAAAATCTGTTTTAAACAGTACAATAAAATGAAATTAACTTTTTTTTGTAAAAAAGAAAAGAACAATTATTATTATTGGTCTGAAAGAATTATTGTAGAGTGATATGAACACTGTTAGAAGAATATAAATCACTAAACATACGTAATATATATATATATAATAATATGAACATAAACAAATGGATTTAAGAATTAATAATAATATCCGTTTTACAGATACCATAATATTAGTAACCATTAAAAATACATAACGTATAGAAGTTATTTGTCAAGTGATTCGACTGAATGGCCTAATGAATCTGAAAGTAAATTGTACATCATGCTTTAGTAAACAAATATAATCAAAATTTATGGTTCAAAACTGTCAAGAACTCACTTTGACGATCCATATAGTTGTATCGATGTGGCAAAGGCCTAAAAGCGGAAGACCTTTGAATTGAAGGTGGCGGTGGCGGTGAGTCAGGTGACATTGAGCGATTGATCCGCCTGGACAATGGGATGGGAGATGTGGACGCTTGGCCTAGTGCTCCGAGTGGAGGGAGCCGTTGGTCAGTAGACGCATGGCGTAGAGACGACGGGATCAATGGTGGTGGAGGTTCAAAATCTAACAGGGTGAATTCTGGAGAAACCGTAGGTAACGGAATGTCCAAGAGTTCGTCTTCAAAGTCTTTGGACGAATCAATGCTAGCTGCAAACATAAAATGGTTGTTTTATTATAGCTTGAATGTGGTGCTCAGAAGGTATTGTTTATACAGTGATGTGTTTTAATTTTTTGTAGCAAGTATGTATAGTATATATTATAGTGCGCAACACAAAAAATGACGGTTGACCGCCGTTGTACCCTGGGCTCAACCAGCCTGTACACAATGGTTCTCATTTTACTGTGACCATTATCCGCACCACATGCAGCTGTATCGTGAATAATATCTACAGTACGGTATTGTACAATTTCAAATTTCTGCATCCCCCTTTATTTTTTGTCCATGCATTCATTGAAGAATAATTTTTAAAATATTTTAAAAAGCGCGGCAAATGATTTGATAACCATTATCACGAAAAATTCACTTGGTGCATGACGGTCACCAGCCACTTTTTGTTTAGCGGACTACAGATATAGGTAGTATATATTAATTATATATAAGGCCAAAAAAAGACAAAAGTTCAACACTGAAAATGTACACACTTTTCAATATGAAATAACTATATTTAATAGTTATTCTCTTCAGTACCTTTATTTAATTTGTTTTTAGAATTTTGAGAAAATTTAATTTACACACTTTTTATTGTGGGAAACTCTCCACCAAAATAAAAAAATCACTCACTCGTGCCGTTTTCATGCTTCTTATCCGACATCGTCAGTTTATTTCTAAGTTGAGCAGATTCAAGTTCCATTTCTTTGAGTTTTCTTTCAGATTGCCTAAATGAAATCTAAAAAAATAATATATAATATATATTATTAATCAATATCGTACTTGACCAATGTATTTGGCATCGCAGCAAAAATGTATAAATTAAGTTTGTACTGAGAAGGAAAAACGTTTTCAAGTCATGTACCCAGTAATCGCTCGCTTTTTTTTCTGCAGCCGATAATTGTATTTTATAACTCGCTTCTTGATCGGTTATTTCTTTTTTCAGCGACTGAATTTCCGATCTGTAACAAAAATTATTTATAAATAACAATTAAAAAAAAAAAATAATTTAGCTATTTATACTTGTAGTTCGAGATTTCTTGGTTTAAAAATTCGAGCTGTTCATTAAGATTAGCAGATTCTCCTTCTTTGTTGTTATATAATAATGATTTCTCGTTAATTTGTCTGTAAAATTAAAACATTGGTAATTTAACATATGAAATATCATATTTTCTACCTTACTTCTGATATTCTTTTTCCTGGTCTTTGAAAAATTTAGTAAGAACATTTAATTTGTTTTCGAGTTCGTCGTTTGTTTTGTTCAGTTTTGAATAACTGGCTTTTATATTGGTGATCTCAGTTTTCAAAGTATCAATATGATCTATAAAAGTAAAAAAAAGAACTGTAAAAAAATTTCAGAAAGACAAACATTAACCCATATTTTTTTAACCTGTGAATTGTTGGTTCGACTGAGCATATTCTTCTAATTTACATTTGTACTGTTCGCACATGTGTTTGGCCGATTTTAATTCGGCAGAGGCTTTAATGGAATTCATCATTTTTTTAGCATCGGCAAGATTGAATTTTTGCGACAACATGTCTTCCAAAGAATTTTTGGATAGAGTCACTTCAGATTCGGCTGTTATTAAAGCACTGTTCTTTTTGTCCAGCTCAAATTCCAAAGTTTTTATTTGTTTAATCATTTTTGATTCTTTCAACATGTTTTTAGCTATAATCTAAACAAAGCGTTTAGATGTTTAAATTTTCGATTAACACAAGTTTTAATCACAAATAACAGACAATTATGTATTGTAATAAAAATCAAGAGTGTTTAGCTTAACTCACTTGTTCAAGTTCCGATGAGAGTTTTTCGTTTTCTTCAAACAGTTGGGAATTTTTTTGTGCTAGTTCGTCTGTAGACATTTGGTAATTTTTAATAACCTCACACTTCTTTTCTAATTCCATAGTTTTTTCGAAATTCTAAAAGTTATTTGTAAAATATTTTATTAAAATTTCTAAAACTGGATCAGTTAAATCTGATAAAATATAGAAACAATACCTTTTGAGTTAGTGCTGTAATTAAATTTTCAGATTCTACCAACTTGGCTTTGACTGCATGTAAGTTCTCGTTATTTTTCGTACTCGATTCCAACGCTGAGGACAACAGCGAGTGCATTTCCATACCAGATTCAGTCAGTTCTTCTACTTCTTGTTCGAGATTTTCGATTTTTATAGATTGAGATGAAATAATATCCTATTGAATAAAATATTTCATGAGAAATATGATTGTATACAACTAAAAATAAAAACATTACACACCTCAGATCTTGCCAACTGATCTCTTAGCTCATCAAATTCTGCATTCTTTTCGACCGCCTTAAAAACAAAACAAATAAATATAATAATTTTTAAAAATGTATTTAAACCTGTCATTGAAAGTTTATACTTACAATCGTCGTGCCTTCGGTGTTCTGCTCTTTTAATATACACAGTTCGTTTTCAGCTATCAACAAACTTTGCTCTTTAACTGCTAATAACGTTAACAAGTGGTTTTCATAAGCACCTTTCTACAAAGAAAAATTTAACTTTAACAATAAAAAAAGAAAGTGGTTGAAATAGATTGAACAAGCATTAAGAACTTGTGAAAATCATAACTTGTACAAAAAATGTTCTTTACGTACTTGATATTTGCAATAGCCAACAGTAAATAAAAGTGTTACCACTGCGGCAACAATAAAATATGTCTTAAGATGGTCATTCATTTGCTTGCGATGATTTAAATTTTCCTGAAACACGCAAACAAAATAATAGCAATTAATGTCAAATTCTTTAAAAATAGTTGTTTGATAAAAAAAAAAATGTTTTCAACAATTAAGTATTTTGTCCAGAAAATAAATTCTAAGTTGTCAGTTGAAAAGTAAATTAAAAAAGTTTAGTTTTTGCGCCATTGAGATTCATCATACTAGATACTTAGTTGGTAAAGGTTGAAGTAACAAGTAAAGTTAAACTTACTTCGTTACCAAAATCATCACAAGAAAAAATTTCGATTTGGTTATCTGCAAGCAAAAATTACAACATGGATTCCTTAAAGTTTCAAATAACTCAAGTATTAGGTGAAAAACTCACCGTTAAAACTATTCGAGTTACTAAAAATATTTGAAATAAACTCGACTGTGTTTGTCGTAGGTGAAGATAACCACTGCTGAATGTAATCCATAAAGTTCCACTCATCTGTATGGGTTTCAATAATTTCATTCATTGACTTATCTTCTTTTTCTACCTTTTCAATGGTATAAGCAGCATCATTGGCGTGAACAGAATCGTCCTGACCACTAGTAGGAACAGTCTGTGCAACGGTTTTAACGTCTTGTTTAAGAACTTCGTTTGACATACAACTAATCCCGCTACAACTGTCAGGGTGACCAAAAGATGACACAAAGCTACCTCGATCAATTTTCTTAACTATCAATTCAGGGTCAACTGCATTTTTTATAGCTTTATGTTGATACTGATAAGAAGAACTAAGACCATTTTGACTGACCGTTGAATGGGGGCAATCAGTGACTGAGTTACATTCGGCCTGCACATCTACTGGCGTTTCGCGATCTTTATTTTGAACATTTCCAATGTTTTCCGTTTCAATTATTACCGGATTGTCCAAAGACTTTTGGTACGGACTCACATAATCTTTTTTATTTGTTTCAATTGATGGTACTTCTACTGAACTATCAAAAGTTGTATTGTTTTCATCACTCGTATTGTAGGTATCTGTACTATTTAAATCTAAACTTGTAATTTGATTATTTTGTATGTTTATTTGTTCTTGTTCTTTAGTTTTGGTTGATTGGTTATGAAAAAGAACATTTTTGGTTAATACATCATCCAATTTTTCGTTTGAAGCATTTATTGGAACTTTTTGTACTTTAGTAGCGACTGTTTCTTCATTTGAAGTATTTGTCTTTTCTTGCAATTGATTTTCATTCAATTGTGGTGCAGTATTTTCAGTCAGCTCATCTTTTAAATCAGTTTCATTAAAGCTCGTAGTATTAGGTTTTTCCTCGTTAACAATATTTGTCCCCTCTCGTATTGTTATACCGTTAATTTGAGGTAAAGTATTGCTGCTGCTTGATTTGTCTATTGAATAGATTTCATTTGGGCTTGTAGCACCGATAGCTTGAGGAAAAATTTCGCCGTTCTGTTCATTTATTAAATCTATTTCATTCGGGATCTTAGTACTAGATTTTTCCAGGTTAGCATTTGGCATGTCGGGTGTTGCAGTAGGTGCAATACTCTCATTCTGTTTATCTTTCAAATCAGTTTCATTGAGGCTAATAGTATTAGTTTCTTTTGGGTTAGCAGTAATTAGCACATCAGATGCTTGTGCAGCAACGTTCATTGACGGGTTACTTTGAAACTGCTGATTGCCGTCCTTTCCTTCTATAGGTAATGTCTTCTCCATTTTGTTTGAACAGTCGCCTAAAGAACATTCTTTATTTACACTTGTCTCTAAAGTGGACTTATCAGGTAATTCTAACGGGTCAGTAGTTTCTGGTCCGTCAGTGCCGTCGGATAGCAAGGAGTTCAAATCTTGTTCGTTTTCATTGTCATTATTGTCAATGCTGTCGCTGTTTTCCGGAATTTCTTTTTGAGCTTCTAATGGACTGAACGTCGGTTGATTATCAAACTTTTTTTCTTCTGATAAACCAACAGATTCACTTGGTACATTCTTTTCAACTACTGCAGCAATATTCTTCATTGTCGAAACATTAAGTTCATCAGTAGTAATTGACGTGTCGTCTAAGCTATGGTCTACATTTATATTTTCCGATTCAGAGATATTGAGCAATGTACTTGGGACATCATCTTTATTTTCTTCAAACATATTAATATCATGTACATTGTCAGTATGTTCGCTAGGTGTATTGATAGAATCTAATTTCTTAATGGGATTTTTCAATTCATCTTCAACATTTGTACCAATGGTTTGAGATGTCAAGTTGTTTACAATATCGGATTGTGTCCCGTCATTATTATTTTTTTCTTTATATTGACAGATATTACGAGTATTCTTATTAATTTTAACTTTGTGATTGAAGCCTCGTTCTGAGAATGTTGTTATTCTTAAATCGTTTCTTGGTATAATATTAAAATTATTCTGAAACATGCAATTTATAGTTAAGTAAATTTAAATGGCTAAAAATAATAATAATTAAAAAGTTACATTTTACTCAAAACTGAATTTGATAATAACACTCTGTTGATTATAAGCTTATTTATTTTATTTTTTTTTTTACCTTGATCTTTACCAAAAAACTGTTTTCATTAAAACCCACTACATCGGTAATATTCTTTTTGGTATGTCTATTCAATAATTTTGATTCTAAAAACAAATAAATAAAAAATACAACTTTCATTGATATATCAAACAATATTATTGAAAAAAAATTGAATACAAACTCAATCATGTACTCGGAACAATTAACACTATATATTATACAAAAAAACACTTATGATTGTATTCTTCAAATCGTTGTTAAAATTTTATGTATAACTTATGAATTGTTTTTATAATTTCCAATTCTGATAGAATGTAGATAATATTTGGACAATCAGATTTGTACAAGAATAAAATTAATGTTCATAATAGATAATATATAACGTCTGTTGATTGTTATTAAAAATATAAAGTAAAATTCTGAAAAATACTGAGAGCAACATACAAGTTAACATGCCTATATGTAGAAAATAAATTATAAGTCAATACAAAATAAAAAATACCTTTTTTTCTGACTGTTCCGTGTACATTATTGTGATCGAACGAACTAAGGTAAAATCTTACTCACCAGGTGATATGGTTTCACATAAAGAATCTTTACATGTAAATTCGACTACTTGATTCGGATCACACAGTTCTGCTCTCACATTGGTGTACAACGTCAAAGAAATCGCGATTATTTTTAACACAAACATTTCGGAAGACACTTAAGTCATCTGAATAGATAGTAATTATAAAACGAACAAAAAGTATAAAAATACGTATTATAAAATAATATGAATAAATAAAAATACGTAACTTTTACTGCAAAAAAAAAAAGTTACATTAAACATCTACTTTATGCCAACACGTACGTAATATCGTTGAAAAATAATAAATATTACCGTCCTCAATAGTAATAATGATGATGATAATATAATGAAAGTTTTGAAAATAGTGATAACAGCGCTTGATATTGATAACACTATCTACATAGCAAACACGTTGGCAAACAGCTGTTTTGCCAAACGTGTACCGGTTAAAATACGTGGTAAAATTTAAAATCGTTTTGAATTAAATATTCTTAATATACTTAAATATAAATAATAATATTAATGTTCTAGTCTTTTACTTTACTATTTACCACCAAACCTAAAAACAAAGGCTCAGGAAATATAAAATTTAATTTATAAATTGCTGTGGAAAGTATAAGTTATTAAATATTAATATTAAATATTTCAAAAGTTAATATAACGGATATAGTTGTTTATTGTTAAAAAAAAATAACTTTTCTTAAGTTTTAGAAATCATTTAAGATACATTAAGATGTATTATAAAACAATAGTTTTAGAGTTCAGACTCGTAAGTTAAACTGCAGATCATGTAAGTTTGACCTTTTTTTGGAAAACAAAATATTAAATATATCAACATTTTATTTTGGAATTTTTCACTAAATCCTAATCTGGATTTATAATTTATCCATCGCGTCTATTATTTTTTAATTCGCCTTCTTATTTATAAAAAAAAAACAGTTGCTTGGTACTTTCAACGTGGTGTTTGGTTAAAAAGAAAAATTTTTTATTTAAAAAAAAACTTTAAAAAATCCTAATTTTTTAAACGTACAAACCACGTTGAAAATACCTCAAAACTATGTTTTTTACGTCATACGGTTAGGTTGTATAACTGAATGTGGTTCTCCAATGATTCAAACAAAGTGCCCTGAATGTCAAGTAAATATTGGTCGAGGTGCTATAAATATATCAACAGACGAAATGGCTACTCAACATCAAGTATAAATTCAACAGTGTGACAATTTTTTTATTGCTTTTACAAACTTTTGTTGTCAACTTCTGTTTGATGTTTTTTTTTTTATATTTTTCTATTAAGTTGTTTTTTTAATCGTTATGATGATTTTTAATTTTAGTTTTAGTTATTTTATTGCTATATTTTTTTAAGTCGATTATTAACAATAACTGATGGTTTATATTACAGTTTATTATATTTATACTATAGTACATTTTTATACTTTATTATATGTTAACAGAAATATGTATTTTTTAAATTTATTGCTGGGATAAATAGGTTTAATGGTTTTTTATATCAAGTTTTGTGATACATTTTTTCTACGCTTTTGTTACATTTCCCAGTTCAATGAGTTCTAATAATCATTTAAATATGTAAGTTATCAACATAATATACCTACATTGTTTGTGAATATTTGCATTATTTATCATAAACAGAGAAATGTAATTCTTTTTTTTTTTTTATTGTTAATTGTTTGAATTACATTTTACTTATATTTTTTTTGTAACCATTCTGGTGATTTTTTATACATTATTACGTTATATTTTTTTTAAGTCTGGTGTACGTTAGAAATATGTAACTGATGTTTATTATACTGTAATACGTTTTTATATTTTATCATACATTAAAGGAAAAATACATTTTTATTTGTAGCAGGGATAAATTGCTTATGTTTTTTTTTATCAAGGTTTGTGATACATTTTTTCTATACTTTTGTTATATTTCTTAGTTCAATCATCAATGAATTATTATCCTTCTATTTATTTTAAGTTATTGATAACTTACATTCGTTTGTGAAGATTTGGTTTACTTATCATAAGCTGAGAAATATAATTATTTTTTCTTTAATGTTAATTGTTAAAATTATAAGAATTAATAACATTTACAAGGGTAATCTGATAACATGCACATTTATTTAAAACTTTCTAAATAGTTATTCATTTTTTTTTCTTCAAACAATTGTACGAAGTTTTAGTTTCTACTGACCACGACAATGGTAGAAATATGTTGCATCATTCAGTAATAAGAATTAATAGTAACTTAATTACTAATTGTACCATTAGTACTATTACTACTTTAACTGTAGTAGAAATGCAATGAGGCTACATGTACTGTGTTCATTGTTTTACGCTTTAAGGGGGTTCAAACGTTTTATTTGCTATGGTTTAAAAATAAAAAAATTCACAATAAACACATTTAGGCCAAAAATATACATGCTGTACATTTTGTAATTAATTTGTTGAATTTTTTTAGCATATCAGTAAGAATGTTTTACTAAGCGAAATTCACACCCGAAACGCAGGCTTTGCCCGGCCGGTGTCCGAAGACATTGGTCGGTAGTTGTCGTGTGCGTATTTATATTATGTGCGCTTTGGATGACTTAGGCATTGATTAAATATACAATTGTATATTTAATCAATGACTTAGGTCTTAGATCACATGCGAGAAGTTCGCTGTTCGTCACAACTACCGGGATCTGGCGATCTGACCACGTGTTGAGGCGGTATCGATGCCGACAGCTAGGTTGCGCGAGCTGTGGCGCCTCGTATGCATCCGCCACAGTGCTTTATGTGGGGCCCGTAGCCCGCCACAGCTATATGGCCGAATTTCTGTCGTTATCAGTCCGTTGTTAACAGTTGTGATAAATGATAACGTCTCGAAAATAAAAATAATGTTTTGCTTTTGCATGTGTTCACGCGTGATAAGGTTAAGGAGGAAAAAGTAATAAAAAAGTGAAACTGTTGACGCGCCGTTTGTTAATAGATATCAGGTAATACGGCAATGGGCGGTAAGCGGCCTTCGAATATAAATTTCGTCGATTCTCTACAACAGGTCTGGTGTATGCGTGTTACTGTTTTTGTTTTGGTGTTGGTCGTAAGTAAGAAAAAAAAACTAACCAACTAAAATAGTTTAAAATAAAATCGTTCATCGAACCGACATGACAAAATATGTGCCAATGTTGTTGTGTCTGTGTCCAGTCAATTCGTGAAACAAGTGCACGCGGTGGTGTCTCAACGCAACACTTGAATACATCGATTTGTGCGATTTCTTGGCACGACCGACGTCCACTGTCGAGATGACCGATAACAAGAAACCGTCACCAATGGTCATCGGCTACTGGATGTCGGACCGAAAGAGCCAGAAGCTCAACTGGGTCGAATTCGGTAAAGTGTGCAGGTAAATTTCCACATTTCAACCATTCCAACATTTATTATAATTTAGGGTATTAAAAAAAAAAAAAACGCACTACCCCACTTTTTTAGAGGAACTCATTTAATAATCAAATACTATTATTGTGGATATATTTGTTATTTTTATTGGTAACCATAAATCGGGCTGTTATGTTGGAAACCTATTGTACTGGAAGTACAATAGGTTTAACTTGTATCGGCCCTAGCTTAATAATGTCTAATGTCTAAACTCCATTAGTAAATACTAGTGATACACGGTAAAATATAATTTTGTTTTATAAAAATACAAAGCTGAGGAAAAAATTGGTTCATTTCAAATGTTTATTCCTTGTTTAAAATCTAAAATCTACTCAGAGATGATGTTTGTTAGTTATAAAAACAATATTTGATGACTAATATAGTATTATCTGACATTGCTAACGCATTTGCGTTTATCTATATTGTCAAGAAATTAATAACTGCTATTGTATCTGCTCTATTGCTAAAAATAAAATTTTAAGCACATATTTGATTTTACAATGTTTTCCTCGTTGTTCAATACTTCTATTTAGATACGCATCAAAGCATTTATTAATATTAAATAATAATAATATAATTACTTAAATTAATTTATAATAATTCCTGTGACCTGTGCTGGTTTTTTTTATTTTGTCTATAATAAATTGTAAATTGTAGTGATGAAAGTAAGCTATTTCGTAAAGTCTGCTTTTATATGTCATAAAAAATGTGTTATTTTATTCAATGCGATAAATACCCAAATGTGTTTTTTTTAAATAAATTTGAACCAATCTAATCTTTATTAGTTAATACAATTATTGTTAAAACAACAAAAATCAATTGTGTCAATTTTATGTTGCAGAAAACATGGATATGAACTTGTAAAAGTAAGTGGTTTTTATTTCGAGAACTGTTATTTTTTTTAAATTTTAATTACTTGATAAAATATTCATTTACATAATTTGATTAAAAAATGTATCATAGTTATCAAATTACTTATCTTTAATATTAATTACTTAATAAAATATCTCTAATAATAATTAACAGGTATTAAAAATAATAAAATATTATATTATTTATGAAAATCTCAAAAGTCTATTCTTGTGTGTTATTATAATATTTACGCTATTAATTAAAAACTGTGCAAGAAGAGTAGTTCTAAAATAACTTTTTATTTTATTTTTATTTTTATAGTTGGACCTGGATAAACCGTTAGAAAACCAAGGACCTTTTGCCGTAATCCTACACAAGTTGACGGAAATAATTGCTAGAAAAGATGAACAAGTAAAGAATATTTTATCATTATTATTATTTATCGTTTACGGTATGTTTGGTTTTATTTTTTAACTGTCTACAGGCTGTACAAATCATCGGTAGGATCGAGCAGTATATTAAGAATCATCCAAAAGTACTGATCATTGATCCGTTAGACAGTGTACGTACCCTGCTCGATCGTTTCAAAACATATAGTGTCGTGTTGAACACCAGCCTGAACAATATTGGTACACCAATATACAATTATTATTGCGTAACTAGGTATTTTTAGTTAAATTAATTCGGCTCACTAGTCAGTAAATATAAATAGGTAATGCACTCGGACATTAACCCAAGTGCTTTTCATGCTAATCGGCCTAATTACGATAGTTATTATAATATGTAACATTTTATTTACGTAAATTATGATCTCAACTTAAAATAATTCTAATTTATTGTCTGAATCGGTTTAAAGCATTGACTTTGAATTATACATCTGATGCATGAAGGACAGACTTTTGTTTTTTTTTCTCGATGAAATAATTCTTTTTAAACAGTAGACCAACTAAACATTTTTTTTTTAATTTGGCAATATTCCCTGTTAATAAGACAATTTTCTAAATCACAATATTTAAACTTTTTGCTGGCTCAGTCCCAATCGCAATTTTATAATTTGTCATTATGTCATATTGCCAAGATTTTGTAGGTGGTATGAGCAGCCTTGCACTTTATTTTGGTTCATTGCCACATATGTTATTCGATATTCCATTTTTTTTTTTTTTTTTTTGTAATACATAATTTTAGTTTTGATGCAGTTAATAATATTGTAAACAATTTTAAATAACGATTGGGGTTTTTTACACCAATTGTATTTATTATTTATGTTTTTATTTTAAATATTTATTTAAATAATGCTTAGGTTTGGATTCAACTTGAGTTAATTATTTTACAAATTATTCTGTTTATGAATTTATAACTATTTAGTCAAGTATGATTTTACGAATTGCTCTAGTTTTTTTTTAAATTAACATCACTTGCTAAAAATTGTATTTATCAATAAAAAAAAAAAAAGGAGAAGAGGAATACTTTTTATTTTAAGTTTGATTTATTTATTTTTAATCTGGGTGTTAAATTTCGCAGTATATGGCTTGTTTTTTATTGTTGCCAAATACTAAAGTTTTGATTATTTTTTTTTTTACTTATAAATTAGGTTATGTATTAAAAATTAAGATGGCGAGTGGCCGAGGGTCATTTATTAGGCGAGAAAAACTGTTAAGAGAAAATGAGCAGCCGTCTCTCCTACCATTAACTTCATTTAAAAATTTTAACATTATTACAAAAGTGATCACTATGTTATAGTACTTTTTTTTTTCTTTTGTCATCAGTTTTAAGTTCTAATTCCAATTTATTTAAACCTCCCAACAAAAACCAATTTGTGTACATTTTATATATTATATTTTATTTTTAAATAATTTAAATTAATGTATATTATTTTAATTTATGTTTATCATAGATGTGTTTACACCAACTTTTGTGGAAATTCTGTCTAACAATGTGGAAGAAAACATAAAAAAGCTGAAAAATGCTGGCGTTACTTTCCCATTTAGTAAGCTTTTTATAAAAACATTTCTTATGAGTTATGATGCATTTAATATAATGGTTATTGGAATAATGGCTATTTTTTTTATTGTAGTATGCAAGCCGTACGTAGCTCAAGGTACAACATACTGTCACCAGGTAAGATATGCCTGTTATAATAATTTTGACAAATCTGAGTAACGAAGCGGCATAGGAGATGATGAAACAATGTCAATCCACTTAATTTATTTTGAAATATTTACACTTAATATTTTTCAATCATCTTTCCGACTGACTCATGCCTCGCTACTGATCAATTTTGATTTGACTGCATTTAGAGTGTTTCTATTTTTATTTTTCAGATGTCTGTGATTTTTAATGAATGCGGCGTGGCCGATTGTAAGCCGCCTTGTGTGGCCCAATCATTTATTAACCACAACGCTGTGTTGTACAAAATATATGTCGTCGGAGATCATTACCAGGTGGTGGAACGACCGTCATTAAAAAACTTCTATCCTTCAAATGGTAATTTCTTTGACCAGTTAGTTGCTCTCCGTTAAATTGTTACTATTTAAAATTACAATTGAACTATAATTGAGAACTACATTATATCAATGAAATTTGAGTGTAATAATAATTTATTTACATATAAAAATGTTTATATAACTATAAACATGTATGTTACACCTAATTTCTTTCACCATAAACAACAGTGGTGTCGATAATTGGGTGAAATCTAGTACCTTTTTGAAATTATTAATAACAAGTTATTTATGATAAAATATAAATTGATATGTTTAATAAAAATTTAATCATAATTGAGTATTTTAAAATTAGTGGTTATTTGTTAGTTATTTAAATAAAAAATGGCCATGATTAAGAATGGGTTATTTAAAAACTGAAAAATGTTTTAACTTTGTTTATTGATTTTTACAAGTCAGAATTTCCAAACTAAATCTAACTAATTGCCAGATAACAATTAACTCATTGTTGTTATTATTGCTTTGCAGAGGATAAAAAAACAATAACATTTGACAGTCATTCTGTGTCAAAATCGGATTCGAGTAGTGAGCTCAGCGTCTTAGACCCGTCAGAAAGTGCCAAACCGTCCAACATAGATCCAATCAAATTGCACAGTATCGTAAAAACAATAAGTAGTTACCTGAACATGTCTCTCTACGGTATTGATATTGTAGTCGAAAATAACACTAATCGGCATGCAATCATTGATATCAACGCTTACCCCGGTAAATTCCTATAATAAAAATAATTTTAAGCTTAATATAATAGTGGTCTTCTTTTTTCGGTAACGTCATTTATACATTTTGCTTTTGTTTAGGCTATGATGGGTTTCCGGATTTCTTCGGCAAACTTATAGACTGCGTCATGACTCGTCTTGCTCAATCGCCATGCAATAACAAAACATATTTCGAAGATTCTGGTTTCGATACGAGCGATTCAAGCGATGAAAAGAAATCTCGTGCCAAGTTGGTTTCGATGCACTAACATTACAGTTAAAACTTTGATCAATTATAAAATTCATCTAAGAAATAACATACAAAAATTGTATAAATCATGTTGTTTATGTATACATTTAATATTTTGTCAATCTGATTTTTGAAAACAATATTTCGTAAGAAAAAATTATATTGTATTTGTTTTTATTACCCTTTTTTATTATTATTAATATTGTTCTAGTATCTATTTTTATGCGTTTTAAAATTATTTTTTGTTTTAACAATCTGGACTGTTCATGCTACAGAACACCAAGATCAAAATTTTCGTACTAAAATTAATATATAAATAAAAATATTTTTATATGTTTATTTTAAAATAAAATAATAATGAAAAAAAAAAGAATTTGTAATATTTTTTTTTACATCACCTATACGTTAATAGCTTAAAAAATTCTACTCCTTGCCAGTCTATCTTTGAATGGCTATTATGCAATTAATGTAATTGTAAAATATTGTAAAACCTTTTGCTTTACCTACAGGTCACGTGAAACTTGTGGAAATGCCAAATGCGTTTCCAAATACAGCAAAGGAAAGGAAAGAGGGGCGTCCCAAATGGCTTAAAAATAAAACCCGGGCGAGTGTTACAGTTCTTTGACGACCTATTATGTAATTTTCACGTGCAAAAAGTTATTGAAAAAAAAAAAATTTAAATATAAGTTCAAACAAAACAATCCATTATATTACCTATTTCAAAAATCGTGTCTCGAAGAATGGGTGTCAAATCATATAACATATTATAAACATTTAATAATTATAACATTTAATATAAAAAATGTATTAAATTTGTATTGTATTAAAATATGTACATTGTGTTTGTTATTTTAGATTTGATTCAGGCGAGTCAAAAATAAACTCGAAGAAATGTAATTGCTCAACTCGGAAATAAATTGAGTGAAGATATCGTCTTGTAAACTTGCACCATAAATATTTCACGTTAAGAACTGTTTAAAACTTTTTTTAGACAATCCATAGTGTTGTATCTATGCGGCAAAGACTCAAAAACACAGTTGGAGGACATTACTAGTTTCTAAAAATGTTTGCTTCGGTGAAAAGATACCTAAACGAATTATAATTAGACACCTAATTCTAAACGTTTGATTGATAAACCGAATAATCCAGAAAATCCGGCTATGAATTTGTCTGATTTCAGAGACCAGAGTTAAAGCGTGGCCAACTATGTAATGTGAAATATAATGACATAGAATTACATCTATACCGAGCTGTTGTATTCTTATTAAGCTTAAGAACCGACATATAGTTTATTAAATGGCCTCACCGAGGAAAAATGTTGACCTGTTTCGATTGTTGGCGGCATACTTACTATACTAAAATTATTTCATATACAAAAAAAAAAAATGCTTTTATATAAAAATGAAAGTAGGTACTAAGTAGCTATCTAGTTGATATTGTAAAACTTCTCATCAATAATATAAGGAGAACAAATAATTAGTAGAAAAAAAAGATAATAAGTTATCATAAATTGGAAATAATGAAGTATAATACAATTTTTTGACAGCAAATTTGAAAGTTGTAGTTTGTCATTTGAATTTTAATGAAAAAATATTTTAATTACTAACATAAAACATTACAATGTATTTAAATACTAATTTTTTGTTTGCCAAATTTTCTAGTTAATTATTTTTTTAATTATCAAATTTAATTTAATTATTAATATATCGATAAAAATGTATTGTATTCAAATAACGACCAGCATCATTTTAATTAGGATTACTACTTATCTACTTTAAACACATTCTGTATATTTATTATTTTTACAACTTCCCATCGACTTTGTCACCTTTCCAACGTTCTTATACCCCGTTTTTTTAACTTGCTGTATACTTTTGTATCTGTATTTATCCGCCTTGGTGTACATATGTAATCTTTATATTATCAAGACGTTATTTCGATTACTCTTTTTACAAATTTGCGGCCGAATAAAAAAAAAGGAATTCCATCAAAGAGAAGCAGTGTTTGTGAAAATATTGAAACCAGATAACAATCTATTATATAAGCTTCAGACAACACAAACGATGAATTCAAATGATTCTTTATTTAACTCCCATTTCGGCTGACAGCACCTCAATAGGTATATAGTACATACCTTACCGAAACTTAGAGGTAGGCACAAAACAAAGGGTGTCCTTTTTTCTCCCTTTTTTCCTTCCACCGAGTATCGTTTCGTTTAATTTATATTTATTTCATTTTTCTTTTTCTCTCTTCAAATCAAAGTTTTTTTATTATTTTCGTTTTTTTTTGTGCGCTACTTAATTCTTTGTTCTATTGAAACTCAAACTTTTATCCCGCTGCTGAAAGCAACTCTTATACAAATTTTTCATTCTAAACGGTGTAATTATTATTCAAAGGCCAAAAGTTTTGTTTCGAGTGCCGAGCTCGTCACAATTATTCCAACAAACGTATATTTATACACAATTGAAAGTACCAGACATTGTGTCCGCACTTTTATCAACATTTTTTTCATTTCAAATTTTCTTTTACGTTAAATATTAAAAAAAAAAACTTTGTAACATGTAATTCGCAGTTAATGTATTAATTACATTGGATAGTTGTATTTTTTAAATTATTATTATTTGCCAACCCTTGCCTACATCGTAGTACCTTACAATAAAAACTTATTCGCAGGGTATAATTAGCATTTCGAGGGGGCTTCAGATGACTCAAGAAAGGCGTGACCCTACCCCCCTTCCCACCTCATGCGCCACTGACAGTGTACATTATACTACACGAGTTTTAAGTTGCTATAATATATCAGGCAATAACGTTTGAACGGCTATACGACTGTCTAAAACATAGCGAACACAACAAAACAATAGTAATTTCGGTTTTGTGTAACTTTAGACGAGGACTTAGTACTGGCCACAAAAAAGTATTCTATTACACACTGGACGTTTTACACGCTTGTAATTGATAAACGCTTCATAATCGGTCGGATCTGCAGTGACCCGAACAAGAAGAAGCCAAACAATAGGTAGTCCTTTGAACGGGAGCTGTTGGTTTCTATTTAAAAATAATCAAAATGTCAGCAAAACATAAAAAACTATTATTTACTTAACACAAACGGTTTAAAAATCTGAAAAAGGCTATATATCTTTTTTGGAGATTTTTAGGTATTATTATTTTTTAGGTACTAGGTATACACTTATTTTGTGTCTTTTTCGGGCACTCACAGGCCACAGCTGGTGGACGCTTATTTCCTTTTCCAAATAAAATTTGAAAAACACGGCGAAACAGAAATTAAAAGCGTTTCAACAACGGTTTATTTGCCAAATAATTCACCCTCGAGCAAAAAACTAAAGTAATTGTAAAAAATCCTACTACTACTACTTATTATACTAAAGGGTAGTTTTTAAAGATAGCTTTAGTTTTAGTATTGTTTAACAAAATATTAAATATAATGTTTTATCATTAAATATTATAAGGATTTCGTTAGAAACTTTTGTAGCTTACACAATTGAAGGGCACAGGGGAAAAACGGTAGTAGTCACGTTATACAATTTTTTTTTTTCAAATAGTTTTTTTCAATTTATGCCATTCATTTTTTTTTTTTTATGTCAATAGATTGTTTAAATAAATACATTTATTATTAGAGTAGCATTTAATGTGATTTTTTTCGTTCTTATGTAAGAGGGAGAGGATTCACGAACTTTGTTTTTGCTATACTCTAAAATTTTCATATTGTGACTACTACCGTTTTCCTCTGTGCCCTGTGCCCTGTACCACCTAAAACATACATTTTATAATCATATTTTCAGGGTAAATTTTAAAACCTATGTGATAATTTAATACAATATTGATTTGATTTTAGAATTTTCAAACGTGAAATTTGGATAATTATCTCCATTTGCACTTGAAAAACAAAATTATACATTGTATTTTGTACAATTGAAACATTAACATTCGACAAGCGTTGTGTGGTACATTTTGTAGGAATAATTATTTTTGGAGGAGTTCCTATGTAGTTTGACCGTTTTAGAAAGAGGACAAAAAAACGCATTTTTTTTTTTGGTTCTTTTGATAAAAAAAAAAGGTTTCAATTACACTCTATCAAAGGAGTAATCTGCTATAGATCTGTCTCTTTCTCTCTCTATATATACCTACCCAAAATTTCGACAGTCAAACGCATGTAATTCTTCGGTTGTTCCCTCTTTTTTTCATTATTATTATTAATGGTATTGAAATATCTTTCAGAACTCGTTTTATGTCCAATCACGGCTTAAATAAAGGCTCGGTGCTTCACGTTATTTATTTGCAACTGTGTCGCCACCGCAATTTTCCCCCAAGATGTCTCCTACTAATTTTCTAAAAGCCTCGGCATTGCACCGGAACACATGTAATGCGGTCATCTGGCGATTTTCTATTTTACCTTTTTTTCTTCCCTTATACTGCTGCTACTACCCTACTTGAAAAGCTCGCTTGTCTTTATTTCTCTTCCTAAGTGCAGACATCTTTACCTCGCCTTTTTAAATATTGCAATATTCAAAAGTGTAAATACAAAAAAAAAAAAATGCAAAGCCGAGGAGATATTTAATATACAACGTTTGCTCGAGATATTTTCCAGCTTTATATACTTTCCCGAGAGATTGCGGGCAAAAAGTATGGCTCATTTCTCTGAACATAGGCGCAATTTAGAGGAAGCTTAGATGTGCTCAGCAACCTTACTTTGCATAAAATTATTTTAAAAAATGTCTAAGAAACAATTGTATCATATAACAATTTTTGTGGCTATACGCACCAAGTGGTTATAAATAAATTACAATTACAATTTGTACTTAGAATTTTTTTAAATAATGTATCAAGTATCAACTACGAAAGTATTAAATCATTGTTGACACTTGAGCAATGTATCAACAAATTTTGAAATTGATACATGTATCAAGTATTATGAATGTGTAATAAAAATAGGTATCAATACCCGCATTAATAAAAATTTGAAATTCCTGCCGAGTGATCATTGTACGTTTTGAGATACCTGAAGTTACTAATAATGTTTATTGGTATGAGGTTATGTATACAACAATGTTTAAAAAAAAAATCTTAATTAAGTATAATATTATGTTAGTAAAAAATATATTTTAATATGTTATTATGAATAAATGAATAATTAAATTAATGTTACAAAAACGGTCCAACATCGACAACCTTTTCTTAACGTTTTGTTCCATAACAGATGCAAACGTTCTTCTGGTGTTTTTCTTCATTCATTAAAAGGGTTCAAAGGTACTTATCTTACAT